AATGAAAGCATTACTCATCAAGAGAGACTACTTGAACAAAACTGGTAATGTTCTCACTTTAAGCATTTTCTTTTCAAGCTTCAGAATTAAACTTTTATCACTTGGCTTTATATCAAGGGTTCATTTGGTCATTGTTATGCCACTTCTTGAACCAAGCTTAGGGTTATCCTAAGGCCTAAATCTCAGGCCATTCACAGTATGTTCTTGCCTCTTCTTCCTTAATTTCTTTTGGTCGTGCAATAGCATCATAACTTTCGCTTGATTTGTATCTCGCCGTAAAATTATCATAATGTAGGACTTAAGAAAGCTTCAACTAAACAGCCCAAGAGAGATCCTGTCATCGGGGCACTTGCAGCTACAAAATTTATGTTACCTTTTTCTCTAATATTCTTGCATGGGCTAATCACTACTTTTATAAGATTTACCCAACTTTTCCTTACCCAGCCATTCTCAAGAATTCATAGGCTTTGTGACCGATGTCCAATTTCAATTCCCTATCGATAACAATGCCATGACCGAGGTTAATGAGGCTGTTGTTGTGGCTTGCCTTACTGACGATCAAGGCAAAGATATCTCTCCTTTTAATATGGTCGAATTAGTTAAGGATGCAACACATCTAGACATTTTCTTGATCAAGAATCCTTTTGTTTTCTTTTTAGAGCACTTCCACCCACAGTCCCATGACAAAGGGAAAGGGCAAGTAAGGGCAGTTACTGTTCAAGTGAATAGTAACTACCCTAGCAATTTTTTTGGTGCTTTTTCACCCATTGCCATGGCAACCCAAGGACAATTACTATTCATATGGGATTAATTTTATTTATATGTATGAGATTAATAATAATAAAACTAGGTATGTAGAAAAAAAAATTCTGAATCTTTGGTAATTTTTCAGATTTTTGTTCAATTTTTTATAACTTTTTCTAGTCGCTAACATCAGCGCCCTCAGGCAGCAGCTCAGGTTGATTTTGCCTTAAGCTTTGCCAGGGATTGATAGACCCCAGCTCTTGCCCGAGCTGGATGTCTTTGCTGGAACCACTTTTGGAGGCCTAGTGAGCCTTTTGCTTATGCTAGGCTCTTGTGGTGGAATTGCTGTTAGATGCTCATTTTATTATTTTTCCGAAGGAGATTAATGTGGGGTGTTGATGTCGGATTCAACTGCGCCAAAATTGATTCAGTTGCATTCTCAACTTGTGATACTCGCAAGTGTATGAGTCATTCAGTGGTAAAGTATATGTAAGTACGAGGTCGATCCCACGATGGTTGGGATAAAAAACGGTTTGAGTCCGGCAAAACCCAAATAGTTACTTTTTGGAGGGGGAAAATTTGGGTTTAGCCCCAAATGGATTAGAGAAGGCCTTATGAAGTTCAGCATTAACAAGAAATGTTGGGGCATCTCTATACTCCTTTTTAGCAGGCATTGGTTCAATTTCCTCGGCGTTCAAATCAATTGCCTTTTTCACCGATTAAACAAACATAAATGCAACGATCTTAACATTATGTAACTTTCCTAACTCCTGCTGCACCTTATTATACCCTCTTAACATTTTTAAAAACACATAAACTTGTTTGTCATCCACTTGGTCCTTGAGGAAAATAGAGAAAGCTTTTCCAAAAAAGGAAAAATAAAATTATAAAGAAGAGAGTTGCTGGTGATTGTTGGTACCTCTTTCTGTTTTCTTTTCCTTTTTTGTAATGAGTCGACGTTGCGACTTGGCTGCTATGTTGTGGCTGTGCTACAGCTAGGCCCGGGCTGAGTAGGCTTCATATATATATATATATATTTTGCTGCAAGCTAGGGTTTCTTCTTCTTGCGGTTCACTCTTATGGTTTTGACTTGTGATTTTAATTGTCTTTTTCCATTTTGTAGTTGTTGTGCCATCATGTCGTCTGACGAAGGAAGCCAATCATCTGGTTGAGTAAGAGAAGAGGAGATGAAATGGTTGTGGGCGAGTTTTTAAAGTTGATTCAACCTTAATATTTGAGTTTTTAACGGTTTTTAATGTTGATTCAGTTCTCAACAACCGTTGTAGTTGGGTCGGTCCCAAAAACTGCTCTAATACCAACCTAGATCGAGGTAGAAGAATTTTCGGATAAAAAAATCAAGTCGAGTCAATTGGTTATTCAGTTTATCGGGTGAAAATCTCAGCCCTAATATCTTAGGTTTCATAATAGAGGGAGTGGATCTGCTGTCCCAAAATTAGGTGTCCCCTTATGTCCCCCCACATGTCAACTGACTTAACAAATGTTTAACTTTGTTAACTTTTTTATTTGGAATTTTCTTTTAAAAAAACAAGAACAAAATATTGTGTCTTCTCCAATTCTCCACCCTACCTCAAACTCACTTTCTTTGAAGGGAAAACCCTTGCAAAATCCACCCACACCTATTCTCTTCCTCCTAATCTCTAAAAAAAAGAAAAACTAATTAGTATACCAATTGATCGTAGGCACGAACCAAGTAAAACAAAACACAAAGTAAAAGAGAAAGTTTGAGTTTCAATGAAGTTCACATAATGGAATTCTCAATTCATGTTGATAAGGTTTAGATGTTCAATCGAAGAATAAGCAGGTACTAAGCTACTCTCGACATGTTAAAGTACAGAGATCCTCCCCACCTATTGCTGGTTCAATTAGTCGAAATGATAAGGATTTGTATCACTCATAGGTGAAAAAAAAAGAAAAAAAAACTAAATCTCGAGGTCCTAACAACACTCGATTACACTCCAATTAAGTATTTAATTCACAAATTCTTCATAGATAACCAAACACATGAAAAACCCCCAAATTTAGTCATGCCCTAAAATCAAATTAATTGAGTGAAGCTTGCAGAATAGTTGACAATGAGGTAAATATTGAAGTCGGCCTACTGTGGTAGAACATCGACAAGGGCATTGGACTGGAGATGCAACGAATGAACAACATGAGTTCGAGGGAGGGTGGAGAATGGAGAATAAGCAAGTACCGCTCTCTCGCGTACGACGTCGTATTTTATTTATTTTATTTTTTTAAAATTGCCATATAAAAGAGTTAATAACTCTCTGTTAAGTTAGTTAACATGTGTCAGCAAACTATTGGGGGACACCTGATTTAGGGATAGCGGATCTGCACCGTAATAGAGGTCCAATGATCTTTGTTGGGCTCATCATCGTGATTTTTCCATGCCCAAACATTGCCGCACATTTCCAAAATATTCGGCAAACCAATGCTTGTGTAGGGTAGGCATGCAAGTATCATATTCGTTAGGGTTGCAGGGGTCTTTTGGTACGGCGGATTGTCATGGACTGGATTAAATACTGGGACTATCTTGGATTGTCTTGACCTATCATAAGTTGGATAACACTTGTACTGCATTTGATTGGACTAGGACTAAATCTTTTTAAAGTAAGTTTTAAATTTTTTTTTTGACTTTTCTTCTCTCTTTTTCCTTTTTCCTCTTCTTCCTCGTCTTTCTCTCTGATTCTCTTTCATCTTCTTCTTCTCTATCCTCTCTCCTCTTCTTCTGTCTACTTTTCTCTTTATTAATTTTTTTGAAAATTTTCTCTTCTCTTTCTCTCTTATTCCTCTTCTATTCTGCCTTCTCCTTATTTTGTTTTTCGAAAATTTTCTCTTCTCCCTTTGCTTTTCTGTTTTCTCCTTCTCTGTTTTTCGAAAATTTTATCTTCTTTCCTCTTCCTCTTATATTTTGTCTATTCCTTCTTGCGGCTGGTGGTCACGGCTGGTAGTCGTGTCTAGTGATTGTGGCTGGTTGTTGTCGCTGGTGGGTTGTGGCTGCCACTTGGGGGGGTTGGTTGTTGTGGGGAGTTTGGGTGGGGTTGGTTGCTCATAGCTTGGGTCGAGACTGTTAGTCCCTCATCTCCAGACGAGTTTCACTAAGAGCTCCTAAGAAGGTGTTTTTGGTGGGGCCCATATTAATTAATCCCACTTAAAATTAGAACTGGATGAAACAAACATGGGATAAAATCTTAGGCAAGCCAATCCATGCGTGCACAGTGTAACAAACAAGCCCTCAGAGTCTTACGCAGACTCTAGACTTTCATTATTAGGCTCTTGTAAAGTTAGATTAGCATGATGATAAAAGAGAAAACGACTTAAAATCTTTTTAATAAAGAGTTATTTATACTAACACCCATGAGGGTTTTAGTGTTTTCACAAAACTTCAAGACGTTTCAGAAATTATACAAACACTCCTTAAGGTTTTAAATTGTTTTCATAAAATCCTTCTTCGTTGATTACTTTTTTAGTCGAAAAACCCTTGTTCATGTGAATCTTAAATTATTAGGGGGTTTTATAAAAAAACCAAAAACCATATAGGGTGTTAGTGCTTGTTTGACATTGCTTATTTGGAGTGATAAGTGATTTTTAAAAAAATTTGGGAAGCCTAACGCATTTGGTAAACTGTGAAAAAATCACTTATTGTTAAAAATTGTTGTGAGAGAAAGCTATAATGGAAAACAACTAATGAGGTGCTTTCATTTTCTGATTAAGCAGGAATTAGTTTTGAAGAGGCGCTAAGTTTAATGATTATGCGACAATCATTTTCTGATTATGCAGAAATCAATACCAACAACACTTTTAACAAAAATTTTACCAAACGTCAAACTGCTTTCTCTCACAGCAAATCTGACAACGATTATTTTTACAGCACAGCAATGCCAAACTAGCCTTAGTGTAAATAACCCTTGCCAACTATTGTCTTATCAACAATCAGTAACCTACACTGCTTTTTCTTTTTCCTTTCTGAACACGTGTGATTTTAGGTTTTTTTTTCATTTTTTATTAATTTTTCCAGAAAACGTTTTTAGTTTAACAACCGTAAACCCTAGTGCTTTAAATAGCAGCACACTCCTCTGGATGTCTCTCTCCGCAAGTTGTCTAAACCCTAGTAAGTCGTCACTACTCTCTCCCATTCGCATATACATTTTCCTGCTAGGGTTTAGATTCGGATCAATTCTGATCGTCGAATTTTTTATCAAATTAGACTTCCGATCGTCAGTTATCCGGATATGGATCTTCCGGGCCTCGCTGTAATACTGCAAGCTGCTCTCAGCCCCAATCCGGATGAACGCAAAGCGGCCGAGCAAAGCCTCAATCAGGTTCGTTATTGTTTGAATTAAATTTTCATGTAATGCCTTGTGTCGAAGCTATTTTTCCAAATTTTGGTTAATTGGATATAATTTTGGCGCATAATTGTGAGTAATCAGAATTGACCTTGATTGTGCAATTTGATAGGTTTACTTGCTTTTGAAAAGAAGAGAAGTGATTCTGAGAACTTATTAGAGATATGAGGATTTATATTTAGTTTTGAGTTTTATGTTGACTTTTTTGTGTGATGAATTATAGTGAGTCGATAATAGATGCATAGAAATGACCTTTTCTGTATGTGCGATTGTGTTTTTTTCCTCCTTCTCCTCTGATGTCGTCTTTAATGTTGGATTTTCTTTTACAGTTTCAGTACACACCACAGCATTTGGTCAGACTGTTGCAAATTATAGTCGATGGCAATTGTGACATGGCTGTGCGGCAAGTTGGCAGTATCCACTTCAAGAATTTCATTGCGAAGAATTGGTCACCGCTTGATCCCGGTACGTCATGATTGTGTTATTTAGCTAGTATCCTAGCCCCGCTGGTATTCCAGTTGCTTATTCTTTGCTTATTGATGTAGATGAGCAGCAGAAGATATCACAGAGTGATAAAGACGTGGTGAGGGATCACATTCTAGTCTTTGTTACACAGGTTCCCCCATTGTTAAGGTACTTTTTGTAGTATTGCTATGATTTTGTTTTCTATTTCAGTTATTTATAGGTAGATGTAACTACTATGTCTGTCACATTATATACTCTGTAGTTTTAGTTTTCTAGTTCTTTATAATATAGTGCCTTGTGTGGAACTGTGTTTGTTTTCATCTTCTTATGTGCTGGCGATGTCAAATGTCATGTTGTACAGGGTACAGCTAGGTGAGTGCCTAAAGACAATTATTCATGCTGATTACCCTGAGCAGTGGCCACACCTTTTAGACTGGGTGAAACATAACTTACAAGATCAACAAGTCTATGGAGCTTTGTTTGTTTTGCGGATTCTCTCTAGAAAATATGAGTAAGTCATATTGTTTTATGCTGTTCTTTTAAAATAATTCCTATAAATTCGAATGGCTATTGTCTGCAGTTGCACTGCCTTATGCTAAAGCTTAAACTTTAGCAATTTTTCTATCTGATGCATGCTACTGATTTGAACCCGAAGTTAGTTGAAACATAGATAATGAAGACTAATGTGCTCATATACGATGTTCTTCATATCTATTATAGTTGTAATATAGGCTTCAAGTTTTCCCTGAATTTATTTGGTTACTTGATAACTAAGGTTGTGTTGTCTTTGTAACAATCTTTTTTTTGTATATATGTATGTTTGTGTGTCGGATTTTGCATATATCTAGTAATGTAGACTGACACAAGTGTGAAATTATCACTACAGTGGTGGAAGTGTGGAATTGGATTCAGTCCACCCAAACATTAGAAATATAGGATTATTCAAGTATCATGGCTATATGTATTTTTCTAGACCACTATTGTTCCATTCCTAATTCAGAGCTATGCTTGTCATTCTCTAATTCACATTCTGTTACTTCCTCAAGACTATACTTATGGTCAATGTCATCACCTACATGGAGAAGAGCAATGCTTGTCATTCTCTAAGTCACATTCTGTTATTTCCTCAAGACTATACGTATTGTCAATGTCATCACCTACATGGAGTACAGTACAGTATCAGTATTTAAGAGAATTACTTATCTATTATATTTCACTTTCTATCATTTCACAGAATGCACTCACGGATGATATTTACTAATTTCATCTGCTCCAGTGATTAGAATGAGTATCTAAGTTGCATATTCCTTCTAGTTTGTACAATGCAAAATCTTAATAACTATCTGCTCATATCTTCAATTTATTCAGGAAGCAATATCCAAATCTTACTTGTGATGCAGATCAGAACTACTGACAGATACAGAATTTCTCACTTTTTCAGCTATTTTCATAATATATATATATATATATATATTTATATAACTTATAAGTAGTTGAAACCACTGTGCACCTAGATGTGACAGAACAGACATTAAAAATTCTGCGGTTTTTGTTTGTTCTCTATAACCTGGTATCTGTGCTTTTCAGAAGCTGGTATGATAGCCATGTTAAGGAAAATTGGTTTTTAATTATTAATATGTAATGATTCTAGTATTTCTAAGTCTTGAAGAGCAAAGGAGAAGCCTTCCAATTTTAATATTGGCGTGATACGTACCTTCAGATTTAGTAATGAGATTTTTCTTGTTATTTATATTATTAGGTTCAAATCTGATGAGGAGAGGACCCCAGTTTATCGCATTGTTGAGGAGACATTCCCGCCTCTACTCAATATATTCAGCAGGCTTGTCCAAATTCCTAACCCAACACTGGAAGTGGCAGATTTGATCAAGCTTATCTGCAAAATTTTCTGGTCATCCATATATGTATGTTCTGGACAGAGATTTTTTCATTGTGCTTCTGTAGTGGATTCAAGTGTCAAGTTTGTGTTGGTTACATGGATATTAATGGCTGATACGTATCCCTTTTTTAATAAACCTTGTGCTGGTGGATATTCTGCAAACTCTATTAATAGAATTGCTAGCAACCCAACTTTTTAAAGAAGAGATATTGCTAATTTCTCAGTATGCCCCCTTTTGTCTTTTCTATCTTACTTATGCAAGAAAGAGGCATGCAGATACCTTACTCAAAGTTTCATTTATTTCCTGTCTAATTGTGCAGATATTTCTATACTACGTTTATAATCCTGCCTATTCTTATACTAGTATCTCTAACAAAACATAGGCTCTTTAGTTATATATAGATGTGTGTTAATTTAGGTATATTGATAGCTTGTCCTTTGCATAAAAACATAGATGCAAAGGATTTATAGTTTTGTTCCTTTTTAAGTTATCAGGTTTTATGTTTGTTTTATTTTAAATTCAGAATGTGTCCATTTTGGTTATAGTGAGTACTTGATAGGATTTGAAATTTTTCAAGAAGACCTTTTCAACCTTTATTACTATTGATTCAGAAAAAAATTAGAGGTCAAAGGAATCATTTATATCTTATAGTATAGATAAATTATACACTAGCATTATTTACGTATAATTTTTTGGCGTCTCTTTTCAGCTGGAGATTCCAAAGCAACTATTTGATGCAAATGTGTTCAATGCTTGGATGATGCTTTTCTTAAACATATTGGAGAGACCTGTTCCCTTGGAAGGCCAACCTTCTGATCCTGAGCTTAGAAAAGCATGGGGGTGGTGGAAGGTGAAGAAATGGACTGTTCACATTTTAAATCGGCTGTACACTCGGTAAACTTTTAGATTAAATAAAAACTGAACAAGAACTGTGGCTTGCATTTTAAAGCATATTTATGACATTTCATCTCTTTTTACATGTTGATCCCTAGGTTTGGAGATTTAAAACTTCAAAACCCAGAAAACAGAGCATTTGCTCAAATGTTTCAGAAGAATTATGCTGGGAAGATTCTGGAGTGTCACTTAAATTTGTTGAATGTGATCCGAACTGGTGGCTACTTACCTGACAGAGTGATCAATCTCGTTCTCAGTATTTAAGCAATAGGTGGGCAATTTTGTTCCTCATAGGTTAAGTCCTTTTATTTCGTTTTGTTTTGTCTTATTAGGTGCTGATTTTACTTTTCCATTTTATTATCCTTTAAAATGGCAATTTTGGATTTTTATTTATTATCCTGTCAATTTTAAAATGACTATGATCTTATGAATAATACATGTGCTTGAATTTTGCTTGTAGTAACATGAAGACATGAACCCCAGTTTTGGAAGTGAGCTTATTTCATGTGACTAATGTATAGCCCCAAAGAGAAATTCGTTGAACATATCCATGCTATCATTTAAAAGTACCCATTTGAACCCTAAACCCATTTAAAAAAACCTATAAAAGCCCAAATATACCTCATGTTTGAAAGGAGATAGAACTGCTTCCACCTCACTCTCTCTATGTTAACTCGTCACAACCCCAACCCTCCTCACACACTTATACTGTGTGGGGGTCTTCTTGTGTTGTTGAGTGGTGTATTTTGTACTGTCAACCTTCAATAGGAAATTTGTGTTTACAGCTATGTTATATTTGTTAATTAACTTGTGAATTTCTTATTGTACTGTTCTAGTGGTGAGATATGTGTAAACAATTTGGTGTCTCCCTAACCTCTCATTTGTTAAATATGTATATGCAGTATCTCGAAGAATAGCATGTATAATCTGCTGCAACCTCGACTTGATGTTCTTCTTTTTGAGATTGTTTTTTCCCCTTATGTGCTTCAATGACAATGATCTAAAGCTTTGGGATGAAGACCCACATGAATATGTCAGGAAGGGTTATGGTCAGTCTTCACTATCTCGTTTTATTGCTTGATGATCTCTGTTTCGTTGGTGATTTATCTGTTTTCTTGCTGGTGCAGATATCATTGAAGACTTATACAGTCCCAGGACAGCATCCATGGATTTTGTGAGTGAGTTGGTTAGGAAACGTGGAAAGGAAAATCTTCATAAGTTCATTCAGTTCATTGTCGAAATTTTTAAGAGGTAGCTTTTCATAATCTTTTCAAAACGATAAATACATTTTGTTGCTTTGACATTGTGTTTTTTTTTCCTCATAAGTTTCTTGTTTCCTGATCTAGGTATGATGAAGCGCCAGTGGAGTACAAGCCATATCGACAAAAAGATGGTGCTCTTCTTGCTATTGGAGCACTTTGTGATAGACTGAAACAAACTGAACCCTACAAATCTGAACTTGAGCGTATGTTGGTGCAACATGTATTCCCTGAGTTTAGCAGTCCTGTTGGCCATCTTAGAGCTAAGGTTTGTTACATAAAATTCTTTTTGTATGTTAGAATTATTGTGCTTGTATTTATTCAGTTACTTGTTGCACCCATGCAAGAAAGTATTGCATATTAAAAAAGAGGTGGACCGTGATGGTCTTGAGACTCCAAGAAAAAGTAACCCAGGTTGTCTTAGAATCAGAAAAATAAAAAGCAAAAAATTGGCTTACACTCCAGAGTGCTACACAGCAACCAGCTGTTACCTGGCAACTCGAAATACACACTATATATGCATGCATAATAGAAAGGTGTGCTCATTCGATGCATGTGCAACATAGTGGGAGTTATTGGTGGAAAAGGAGAGGGCCCCGTAAACAAGAAGCTGGGTTGGAAATATCAAAGGGAAATTCATTGTAAGTTGAACTATAGAACATCACTGGTTCCTCAGTCTGTTATCAAAGTTGCTGGTGAAATGGGGACAGTATCGCTGTCCAGAAACAAAGAGGGTTCCCTTATTAGTAGTGTAAATGAACCTCATTAGATTCTAAAATGAAATGGATCAAGCTATTCATGATGCATCTAGGGGAAATGATGTCAATAATGTTTAACAACGTTATGGGAGAAAGTTAGATTATCTTCTTTGCTATGGGCATCAATTTCTACATACTTTAGAGACATTTTTTTGGATTCATTGGCTAGTAGATGGAAAGCCACCATTTGCTAGTTTCCATGGCTTTCTTTTTCTTCAAGTTAGGGGTTTGTTTGTGTAACTGCTATATCTGATAACATTCATACTGAGAAGGAAAAGGGTCTGTAGGTATTAATATTGATGATGGGTTACAATCAATGTATGAGACAATAAAAGACTGCCGCTCTTGACATTTACAATTGAGGTAAAAGTTGTATATATATACACAAGAGACTATACAGAAAACCCTAGGACAAGGACCCCTGAGGATGACTCAGCAGATAAGAACAGGGAATATGCTTGTCCTTGTGTTGAATATGCCTTTGTGACTGTTGGAGCCCAGCAGCTGTCATAGCATGGGTGTGTTAACCATTTTCTGGTTTTTGCTGGTTGTGATGATCGTTTTGGTCAACCATAGAGTTATGGCTAATAATATCTCCGTTTAGTTTTCTTTTTGTGGCCATCTTGGGCACCCTTGTATTTTATTGTTACATGCAGTAAAATATTATTTCTTTTTCAAATAACAAAAAAGTCATGTTTGTTGCTTAATAACGAAGCTTGTGTCGAGCAATAGTCTTTCGTTTTCTTTTCTTCATTTCCACAATGTTCTAAATATATCATGTTCCCCTTTGTATAATTTAGGAGAGTAGATTTTCTGTATTATTCATTCTTACATTTCCAACAATTTTGAATTTAATATGTGCTTCATGCATGATTCTTCCCTTTTGTATAGTTTTTGCTCTATTCATTGTACTGTTTATTTTATGAAATTATCTTGGAATTTCTTTTATTATTGTTATTTTATGTCAGAGTTATTCTTAGCTTGAATTATGACATGAATATTAGGCAGCCTGGGTCGCTGGACAGTATGCCCATATTAACTTCTCAGACTCGAACAATTTCCGTAAAGCATTGCATAGTGTTGTTGCGGGGATGCGGGATCCAGAACTTCCTGTTCGAGTTGACTCAGTTTTTGCATTGCGCTCCTTTGTTGAAGCTTGCAGAGGTATATATACAGCTCTCCACTGTGGATCTTGCATGTGTGTAGTTTTTTATTTTTTTTATGTATGTAATCTTTTTCGTATGCTATGCAGATTTGAATGAGATCCGACCTATTCTTCCTCAGCTTCTTGACGGTATGTGGCATGGAAATCTTTGCTATGCATCATTAGCACTAATCATGAGACTTACCCAATCTGTACATTTTTCTGTTCAGAGTTCTTCAAGCTCATGAATGAGGTGGAGAATGAGGATCTTGTCTTTACTCTGGAAACAATAGTGGACAAGTTTGGGGAGGAAATGGCACCTTATGCCCTTGGTTTATGCCAAAATCTGGTAATATTTACTTTCCACGTTTTGAGAGTACTTCTGCAATCATCGTGAAACATGCTTGCCTAATTCTTGTGTTTTGTTCTCTTTAGGCTGCTGCATTTTGGAGGTGTATGAATACAGCTGAAGCTGATGATGATGCTGATGATCCTGGTGCTTTGGCAGCAGTTGGTTGTTTGCGTGCTATTAGCACCATTCTTGAATCAGTGAGCAGGCTTCCTCACCTTTTTGTCCAAGTTGAACCAACTTTGCTTCCTATAATGCGCAGAATGTTGACAACTGATGGCCAAGGTTTGGATGATACTTATTTTCCTTTGTCTTGTATGCCTTGTACTTCTGTCAAGTCCTGCTTAAAAGTTAGTTTGTTGCCCTGTCTTCCCAAGTGTTGGGGTCACTGTTATTTATTGAAGCAAGCTGCTGTCGATGAGTCTAAACTCCACGCCATCAATTTCATTAATTCTGCATATTGCAGTTGTTTTTAATATAAGAATATAAAAAAGCTTTGGGATTTTCTGTTCCTTCGATCTCCTCTCTAAGTGTCTGGCCAAGACAAAAAAAGCTAAGTTGGGAGAAAGGAAAGGAAAAATAAATAATTATGTGAGCATTAAACATAGGTTGAAGTGCATCCTTCAACTTATTGATGGAAAATGTTGCGTTTCTTATATTCATATAATACATTTGTTGTTAAACACCAACAGTTCTACATCCCTTCTTGATGTTTCTCTTGCAGAGGTTTTTGAAGAGGTTTTGGAAATTGTGTCATATATGACATTTTTCTCTCCAACAATATCTTTGGATATGTGGAGTCTTTGGCCGTTGATGATGGAAGCATTGTCAGAATGGGCTATTGATTTCTTTTCAAGTGAGTTAATTCTCATATTTTATTCACAATTCTTTTTTAAAGATTATTTATTCTATGTTTTGTCCTGTTCATCCTTGACTGGATTTACTGATTATCTGCCAATCTGTTTAGTTTACTGCTTGATGCTTTATAGTTTTCTTAACCTTTGTGATAATTATTTTGTGTTTGTGGTTTTTTTTTGGGGATATAAATATTGTCTGTTTTGCAGTTCCAGTTACAGCATAACTACTGACTTATCATTTCCAGCTCTGATATTTCTTGCTTGTGATATTACTTATCGAAGAGATGAGACCAATGCCTCTACACAAACCCCAGTTCTCTTTGCCATTGAGTTTAAAAAGTATTAAAAAATGAAAAAGCGATAAAAAGAAACCTGCTGGAATATGTGATGACTTGAACTTGTACAATGGTACAGCTATACGTAATGGTAGACATGATAGTATAATGTTGAGTTGGGGAAGAAGTAGCAAAATGCCTGCCTGATTTAAACTTTTGATGGTCCATGTAATTAGATTTATGCATTCATGTACTTTTTTCTTTCCATCCTGTAGTTCTCATATTATATGTTTCCTTGCAGATATTCTGGTTCCTTTGGATAACTACATTTCCAGGGGGACTGCACACTTTCTCACTTGTAAAGAACCGGACTACCAGCAAAGCCTTTGGAATATGATTGCGGCTGTAAGTTCCTTTATGTTACAAATTTTATATATTCTTGCTAGACTGAACAATACATATAGGAAATGTCTTCTACCCTTGTTTTCTCTATTGTGTTAGCAACTGTCTTCTTGAATGGGGCAATTCATGAAATGACTGCTATTAACACACTATATGGTAGAACTTACCTAGTTTAAGAAGATGCTAGGTCAAGCATCCCTCCCGTTGCTTTAGTGAATTGCTTGAGTTTTAATTTGGTGACTACTTAGTAAAATGTTTTTGTGAATTTAATTGATCTAATAGATATTTGTATGTTCTTGTTTTGTGCAGATAATGGCAGATAAAAATATGGAAGACAGTGATATTGAGCCTGCTCCGAAGCTCATTCAAGTAGTTTTTCAGAACTGCAGAGGGCAGGTTGATCAGTGGGTTGAGCCATATCTTAGAATTTCAGTTGAGCGGTTGCGTCGAGCTGAGAAATCATACTTGAAATGTCTTCTCATTCAAGTGGTAAGTAGCCAGATGTCAACTTTTATATTTCTTGATATAGAAACCTTTGCTTCATCTTTAAATGTGATAAGTTCTGCGTAGTGCTTCTGAGCTATAACTTGTCCATAGTTCTTCCGAGCCTTGGATCAAGGTGTTACATACTGAAGCTGGACCCCTTTTCCTGATTGCTTGTTTCATACTGAAGCATGTATTCAATTTTCTGTTTGCAGATTGCCGATGCTCTGTACTATAATGCAGCTTTTACACTCAGCATACTGCAAAAGCTGGGTGTTGCAACTGAGATCTTTAATCTTTGGTTCCAGATGCTGCAACAGGTTAAGAAAAGTGGTGTGCGTGCCAATTTTAAAAGGTAATTTGCAGTTTTGTTTCACATTGGTAATGCCCCACCAGACTGATTTTGTTTCCCCAGTGCCATATATGTGAATTTTATTTCACATTGGTATTCCCACTCCCTAAAGAAATTTTGGATATAGAATGTAATTGAGTTTTTCTTTGCAGGGAGCATGATAAAAAAGTTTGCTGCCTAGGTTTGACATCATTATTGACACTTACAGCAGAACAGTTACCTGGGGAGGCATTGGGCCGTGTTTTCAGGGCCACCCTTGATCTCCTGGTTGCATACAAGGAACAAGTTGCAGGTCTTTATCTCCCTCTTAATTTATATTGCTTATTCTTCCACTTGGAATATAAACTTTGGAACTACAAGCACCATAATGTGAATTATTTTGGATTTATAAATTAGAATATTTATAAGTTTCACTGTAGATAGTAATAACTTTTTCTTGTATGGCTCACACACTTATTTTTTTCAGTTATATGTTACTAAGTTTTAAATTCTTATGAACGTTGTTATGGCAGAAGCTGCAAAGGAGGAAGAGGCAGAAGATGATGATGATATGGATGGTTTCCAAACTGATGATGATGATGATTTTGGTGATGGATCGGATAAGGAAATGGGAGTTGATGCTGAGGATGGCGACGAGGCTGATAGCATGAAGCTTCAAAAGTTAGCTGCACAGGTGTGCCTTCTTTTCTTATTTAGTCAATTTTATTTGTAGATTTGATCAACATGAGAAATTTTCTATTGTTCAGTTGGTTAATTTACACTAAAAACTTGGTTTCAAATTCCTCATTTGAAATACCTCGTCTAAATGGATCCTGAATTCTTATTGGGTATTTTTGTTTGGAGGGAAAACTTATTATTTTTTGGTGGTTTTCTTCTGTGTTTTATATTATTCTGGTTTGTCATGCAACTGTTGGGCGAACAATTCATTGTTTTTAACCTGTCCCAGAAATTCAATTTAATTCTCCTTTTTTCCCCTTTACGAGACAAATTCTCATCATGCAAAATTGGTCAAGCTTTCTGGTAATTGTCAACGCATGACTTCTGTTTAAGATCAATTTCTTTAAACTATCCCAGGCATTAAGTAAATACAAGATGCCTAAGAGTCCTTGAGGCAATGCAACTTGATGATGCGTCTGAGTACCCTACCTCCTTTAAGGAATTGTTGCTATTGACTACATGGGCTTCTTTTCTTAATTAGTCTTTCTTTTTATGTATCTTCTGCCTGATGACTAATTGTCACTTGGTGGTGCAACAGGCAAAGTCTTTCCGCCCTAGTGATGAATTTGATGAAGACTCGGATGATGATTTCAGTGATGATGAGGAGTTACAGTCACCAATTGATGAGGTGGACCCCTTTATCCTCTTTGTAGATGCAGTAAAGGGTAAGTGGAGAGTTTCCTGTGTGATGTGTTGAAACTCAAACCTTGAATTTGTGGCGTGTCTGACGTGTGCTTTATTTTCTATGCTTTGCTTGTGTAGGTATGCAAGCATCAGATCCGTTGAGGTTTCAGAGTCTTACGCAGACTCTAGACTTTCATTATCAGGCTCTTGCTAATGGTGTTGCACAGCATGCAGAACAGAGGAGAGCAGAGATTGAAAAAGAAAAGATGGAGAAGGCATCGGCTGCCACGGCTTCATGATTCTGCTTTATATCTCATGGTGTGGCTTCAATTTTGCCTTGGTCTTCTTTGCTTTTTCCATTCATGTAGTAATGGGAATATAGAGAAACAGAGTTGTTGGTGGTCCATTCAGAGCATTTGGTTACTCTGGTGGTCGCGTTTGTCATTGAGCCCCAAGGAGTTTTCATTTTGACATACTTGGAGCATGTCTGATGAGTTCCACCAATATGCTAAATTTGAGATTGGGGAACTCTGGAGCTGGCACTTCAACTCTGGGTTTTGGCTTAGTCATTGTCTGGTGAGTCGGGCCATTCTATGGCAGGATACGCCTCCTACCACCGGTTTGTGTCGTCGCTTTTCCTTTTTTGTTCTCTTTTTCCTTCACAAGTCTCCTGTGATTTAGGCACCGTTTGTTCAGGTTGAGATTCCCTTCTACAGGATATTTTATTGATTTGGATCCCTTACGTTTTCATTGTGCATACAAGCGAGGGTTCCGAGCACACCGAGTCTGTAATATTTCTTGCCATTTGATGTGGCCATTATATGGGGTGATTTGATGGTTGTATTGATATTTTTTGGTTTAGGCCGCCTGCAAAATTTTCCCCCACTTTTCCTCTCTTATTTTCGTAAATAGTCAACAAATGTCGGTGCTATCGATTTATTGGGTTGGGAGTTTTGATAACAATGCAGAGAGCTTCTAAGGGTTGCTTGCTGCTTATTGTAATACAGTGATGAATATATTTATTTTTACAGATTGGTTAATTGGAAATGGTGGGTTTTTTCCAGACGTCTCCCATGTTTGCTATAGAAAAACACCAATGTTCCTTTTTATTGCTATCTCAGAACCTTATATTTATCGCTTTGAAAATACATTTTATTTTTACCCCGTGCCTAAAAGGCTTTTCACGATCTCCCTCTAATTGTTTTGCGTTTGACCCAAAGCCCTGAACCCAAAACTTGCCCTTACCTAATGCGTTTGCCCTTAGGGACCCATTGTTGAGGCCTAAAAAATTCACAACTTGGCCCAAATATATTCCCAGTCCAATGCAATCTTTATCAAGAAGAAACTCGATTTGGGCACGCGGAAATTCGTCATATGCACTTGCACGCATGTCACGCCAAGCAAATAAACAACATGACACGTTACAAGCTTAAGCGGGCTTAAGCCACGCAAGATGCTTTGGGCTTGCTTTAGTGGGTTGTGGTATGGATAGTAATAAGTTGACATGAGGCTTATTGATAGGCCGATAAATGGAAGTTCCGAGTTTACTTAGGAGCCTCGGAACTCAAGCCAATTTCTTAGGCCCAAACATGTGGGTGAGCACAAAAGAGAAAGTAGCCTATTACTTCAACCAAAGAAAATATCTACAAATCTCTAGCACCTAGCTGAAAGCAAAAGCTAAGGGTGGTTGCGGTTCAGTAACCGCGAATTTTTGCCCAAACCGCAAACCGACCTATTTGCGATATGGTGATTTTTGAAACCGCAAAAAGCAGTCGGTTACTGTAAATTAGCGGTTTAAAACAGCAAGTTCTTTTTGTGTCATAAAATCCAATCTTCCACATTTTATGCCTAATTTTGATGCTTCTTTTGAAACCTTTTGATTTCAAGCATACTTTAACCCAATAATAAATTCACAACCTAAATAAATAAATTTACAACCTCAACTTCTCAAGTATATATAAATTCTCAACCTCCTCAACTTCTCAAACATTCACAACCTAAAGAAAATTAAAGTTACAATTCCAAGCATTATAGTTAAAGTTAAACTTCTCAAGCATTCACAACCTCAACTTCTCAAGCATTACAATTCCAATCTTTTAAACTTACAAACTAAAAGGAAAATGCAATGCAAAATGAATTAAAGTTACAACCCCAAGGAAAAATTCAATTCAAAGTTAATTAAAGTTACAAACTAAAAGGAAAATGCAATGCACCAATGTTACAAATTAAAGTTACAAACTTGAGTATTGGTGGTGGTGAGTGGATTTGAAGGACCCCGTTGTGTTGTTTGAGCACCAATGTTATATACAAAATGCAATTTTTATTTATTTATAAATATAGTCGCGGTTTGCGGTAACCGTAAGTTTTGAAAATCAAATATCGTAACCGCAAATGCAGTTTGGTTTCCTGCGATTGCGGTTCCATTGCGATAAATTGTCGGTTGGTTTTTGCCATTTTTCGGTCTAAAATGCCACCCCTAGCGAAAGCCACGATGAAAGCCAAAATATCCATGTCAGTGAGCTGCTGGGAGGCTCTAGCATATGGGAGGGAACAAGTTTCAAGCAAAAACATCCAAAAAACCAAGGGATACTTGAGCAAAACACCTTTCAAACCAATGTACATACCCATTTCTTTCCCTCCATCAGATCTAGCTATAGAAGAGGGGAGAAAAGAAGGAAGGAAGATTGCTGAAAATAGAAGTTCTCCACTGAGGCAGCTGCGGGAAAGAGCCTTGAGCACCCAAAAATCCCTGATTTTGTGCAAATGGGCAGAGAGATTTCACCAAAATAGGACGATTGAAGGAATGAGGAGAGAAAGGAAGGGAAAGACTTGGCCAAATTGGATAGAAACCATTAGGGTTTCTTGGAAAATGATACCTTCCAGCACCTATAAAAAGATGCATTTCCTACCAATCATCACAACACACATATGGAGAGCAAGCTTTATCTCTTATTTCTGAAACCTCTGCAATTTTGAGCCCCATCCTTCCATCTCTTCCCATTTTTCCTTTTGGTAAACTTTTCCAAAGCTTGACAGAGTTTTCGTCGAGCTGCCGGAAACTACCCAGCACCCCACTACTTCATCATTAGCTAAAACAACCACATCCAGAGAGCAAGCTTCCTCTCTCACCCGCAAAACCCAGCAAATTCGTGCTCTATTCATCCTTTCCCCCCCTAGAACGCATAGCTTTCTCTTCAGTGCTAAACTCATGTCAATTTTGCTTCCATGCCACAAGCCTTTCATGCCAAGCTAAAAATCTACCTATAAGCAGCCATTGTTTTTGTTGGTGAAGGTGACCGGGGTGTTTCCTAAGGCTTCACTATCCTTTCGAAACATTATTAGGGCCTGATCTTTGAACTTAGACACATGGGGTAATTTCATCCATTTTGCTCTTTACGGCAGCCCAGCCCATTTGTGCCTGCCGGAAGCAAAAACCCCTACACCCATTAATTGGAAGCAGGTTTTGGACCCTGGTATCTAGTGGTGAGCAGTTTTTGGCACACGATTGTGCTAATAAAATACCATGGTCGGATTTTCAGTTTTATTTTTAATCTAAACGCCTATTTAAACAAACATGATAAAATTTAAGTTCTCGTTTTTTCTTTTTTAGAAATGAAAAGTAAAAATTGAAAATAATGTTAAGCTGGTTTTGTAGGTTAAGTGTCGTCTTTTTCACCCTTCATTCTTTACACCAATTTTCAGAAAGAAAAAATGGAGGTTGAAGTAGTAGTGGTGGTACTAGAGATGGTGATCGTAGCAGAGGTGGTGGCAGCAGCGTACATGATTGTTTTCTTTTTTCTTTTTTTATTGTTTTCTTTTCTTAAAACTCTCATTTTCTTGTTACTTTAGAAATTACAACTATTTTAATTGAATTAATGTTAGAATTTATGATCTCCAACTTTCATAGTTTATTTTCGAATAAAAGCCACTTTTGGTCCCTGTAGTATGGCACGTCAATCACTTTTGAACTTATAGTTTCAATTTCATCAATTTTGACCATACTATTTCATATTTGTAGCAATTCAAGGACAAATTAGTATGCCCATCGATTTCTTTGATAATGAAAGAGGTAATTTTGTCAACCCAAAACCCTTGAGCGTTAAAGTTCATCTGAAACTCTTCCCATTTCATATTAGAGCTTGAAATTGGCCATTTGGGTTTAGGGTTCTTCAAAAATTTGGATTAGCAGTTGAATTTCGAGCCCTAATATGAAATGAGGAGAGTTTCAAACAAGGTTTTACGCTCAAGGGTTTTGCGTTGACGAAATTGCCCCTTGCACCGTCAAAGAAATTGACAAGAATACTAACTTTTCATTGAATTGCTACAAATACGAAACTACAATGGCAAAATTGACGGAATTAAAACTACAAGATCAAAAATAGTTGAAATGTCAAACTACATAGACCAAAAGAGATTTTTGGCCTTTATTTTCTTCACTTAAAATTTTTAATTTTTTGTTCTTTAAGAATTCAAGAATTCAAACGAGATAATAGGTGTTTGTCAATTTAAAAATTCTAACTTTTGCCCGAATTTCAAGTTTATTTCCCTTGTCCAAACACATAGCTAGGATCTTAATCTACTTTTGGTCTTCTCTGTCGTCCATTTCTCTCGCCAACTTGCTAATTTTAGTTCCCAAAAGTGCGATCCTTTCTTCAAATTTGGTTGTCCATTCCTTCAATTATTCATTAGTGTCTAACCAATCCAAAAGAGCAAACAAGAAAGCGGTCAAAATCCCCTAAAGGCAGCATCACCAAAGTCCTCCACACAAATAAATTATTAAATTGGAGCACCAGCAAAAGCGAACACGAGTACATATCAACCAATGTAACATAAGCATTCTACTACTGCTAAGCAGCAATAGACCTTCATTCTCCTCTGCAAGAGCTGCATACTTTTGCTACTGCTGCTGCCTAAAGGAAGTGCTTCTTACAGCAGTCTTCATCAATATCTGGTTTCCGCAAATCTTTCGTTGATGGTTCACTTCACTGTAATGCATTTTAGCATCACGTCTTGCATGCTTCTGTCCCAACTCCTGCATCCGACTTCTCCAGCAATTATGTTTTTTCTTGATCTTGAGAAATACTCTCCCGAACCTAGAAGCACAAAACCTCATATCAGCAAACTTAATCTCCAAAAAAGTTTACAAATATCAGATATTAAGTGAAAATAAAACAGTTATTTCCAATCCAGTTGAAAAAGTAGCCACCATTTCCAACAACTAAAACAAAGAAAGAAACTGTGGCACCAATGCTGAACTCGTGTTGCATATACCAGTGTTTTAAACAGAGTAATGGAGAAGGCAGAAGAAACAGCCACTGCAGAATGCAAACTCATAAATAAGATACAGAAGGATGGTCACAGAGCTTAGCATGTAAGATTTATGTTTAGGAAAGATAAAGAAGAAACATGTTTTTAGCAAATGGACATTCATTGTGTCAATTACTTCCATCTAAATTTCCATGACCTACATATATGCACAAGGGAGGAACATATCTGATATAACGAATAGAAACAAACTATGAGCAACCATTAGCAAAAATTAATGAAAAAATTATGGACAGTTGTGAACACTATAAGTCAAAAGGTTCACTTTTACGTGTAACCATTTTCATGATTCCTCAAAATCAGGGAATTTTGACACAACAATTGAAGGCTACATATGGAACGAAATATTAGTATAAAAATTTACCTCAACTAGGGAAATGAAAGAAAAATAAAAAAGTTGATAACAAAAGACAATACCAGGCAGCAGAGAAGATATCATCAAACCTTTTCCTTCAATGTGGATGGATCTGGCAAAGGCCAATTGGCTTCATCTTGGTGCACAAATATAACATTCTCCAAATGGCCTTTGACACACCTAGTAATGCAGGGAAGTGCTTATCCCTATCAGCACATCTATAGCTAAAGAAATATTTCTGCAACTCAGAAACAAAGAATTAACAATTTTGAAGGAGCTTCACAAAATAAAATTTGAACATAACAAGAAAAGCAGTTGTACCTCTCCGGTTCGATGGTATGATGGTTTGAAGGACGATGTCAAAGGCTTTGAACTCCATTTTCAAGGCTTTCTGCGTGAGCTGAAATGACCTAATGCATACCACATCTTTACCGGCTGAGGTTCTGAATCGAAGCTTAATTTGGGCATTGGGCTCGGTTTCAACTACAACCTTTGGGTCATGGATGAAGTTGTGGCCAGACCTAGCATTGGGAGGCAACTCGTTGGAGCAAGAGAGCTTCAAGAACTTGAGAATGGTGGTTTTTCCGGTGCTGTTGGGGCCGACGATTGGGGTTAAGAAATTGAAGAAGGTGATGATGTGCTTGGTCTCCGGAACGAAGCTCCAAATTCCCTTTATTAGCATCCTGTCCACTGTATTCTTTTTGGCGAGTTCTTTACTTCTCGTCTACTGATGCTTAGAGGACGAGCGAGAGAGAGAAGAAAGGGTTTTTCACTTCTCAGAGTGGGAGAGAGTCAGGAAATCACAATGGAAAGGATGGGACAGAAAATATGATGTCCATATATGTGTATTTACGGACCAACAAAATTATGACGTCTATCTGCGAGGTTTATTTCTACATAAGTAATCATATGTAATGTACATGAGGAAATCCAGGAAGAGGCTTTTTTCAGGTGTCCCACTGGAAATTTTAGAACCTTCTTGCATATTATGATAGGCTCTTTCCAATAGTTTGTAGGTAATGTCATCAAACCAAATTGGAATATCACTCAACTTCTGACCCCACATTAGAGCCTTCTCAGGCATCCCCTGCTTGCAGAACTGAGACAACAATACATTAGCTGTAACAATATTTGGAAGAAAGGCCACCTTAAGCAGTTTAGCCATTAAAATCATAGCACGATCCAGTATGTCAACACAAGCACCATTCATCAAAGTGTTGTATGTAACTGTGTCTGGAACAACACCTCTTGAAACAAGCTCATCCAGCATCATTACAGCTCGATTTATTTTTCGGACACTACAAAAACCTTGCATACGTATATTATAGGTTGTGATATCTGGTTCCCACCCACTGGCATGCATCTTACACAAAAACTCATCTGCTCCAGCCAAGTCAAATGCTTTACAATAACCGCCAATTAAGGTATTGTACGTGACAATATCTGGTATTAACCCAGATCGGTACATGTCCATAAATGTATCAACTGCTGACTTCATTCTCCCCTGTTTACAGAACCCATTAATGATTATATTGGTTGTATAGATATCTGGAAGAAGACCCTTTTTCCTCATCTCACTCTCCAACTTCAATGCATCATTCAACTTCCCACAGTTGCAAAACCCACCAATCAAGGAATTATAGACAAAATTGTTAGGCACGAACCCTTTCCTTGACATGTCCAGGAATATGTCATATGCTTCTTCCACTAGACCAGCTTTAGATAGTCCATTGATAAATACTGAAAAGGCAACAACATCAGGGCATATCCCTCTTCCTTTCATCTCATTCCACAAACTTTGAGCCCCATCTAAATCACCAATTCTAAAGCACCCATCCAAAATCACCGTGAAAGCAGCTTTTTTTATCGGAAACCCCTTCTCTATTATCTTACACAAAAGTTCTCTGGCTTCCTGCAGGTTCCCCTTCTTGGATAAACCCATAAGCAAAGAGCTACATGTAGAAGATGAAGGAGTTATACCAAATGCAATCATAAACTTATAGGCCTTATAGGCCTTGTGTTCTAACCCTACTCTGCTGCAAGTTGCAATAACTGAGTTGAAAGCAACAGCACTTAGCGGTAAACCTTTTTCTAGCATATCCTCTAAAAATTCCATGGCATCGTCCAACCGACCTGCCCAACATAACCCAGAAACCAAGATATCATACAATGAAGAATCTGGAATCAGCCCTGATACAGATAAATCCCTTAACAACCTGTCTGCATCCTCTTCCCTTCCATACTTGTAATACCCAGCAATCAAGATATTAAAAGTTATGCCATCAGGAGATACTCCCTTGTTCCTCATTTCTTCATATATCATGTTTGCCTGACCCATGTCCCTTCCCTTAACATACCCGTCCATCATGGTATTGTATATTATGGTACTAGGAGAATAACCCATATCTGGGATCCCATCAAAAAGCTTCCTAGCTTCCACCAGATTTCCTTCCTTACATAAGGCATTTAAAATGGTACTAAATGTAACAATGCTCGGTTTACAGGCCCTTGAAGTCATCAAATGCACCCAGTGAAGTGCATCTAGTGTCTGTCCCCTCACACAATTTGCATTGATCACAGTGTTATATGTAATAACATCCGGATCACACTGGAATTTCCACATCACATGTAATAAACTCTCTCCGACTCTAAGCAACCCTTTTCTACAAAACCCAAGAATCATTACATAAAAAGTATAATTTGAGGGGCGAGGCCCTTTCCGAATCATATCCCTTAACACCTTCCAGACACTACCATAATCACCAATCCTAATCAAAAGCCTGAAAAGATTCGTAATTGCTGACAAACTCGGCCTCAACCCCACCTCCCTCATCCTACTCACAATCTCCAACGCCTCCAAACCCATTTCCACCTTCAAGAAACCCCTCATAAGTGTATCAAGAACTGAGAAATCTGACTCATATTCACAATGACCTGCCCACATAAACCCCACCAAATCTCTACTCCTACTCGGCTCAATTTTCGCAATTACACACGAAACGACATCTTGAGCTAGAAAACGTAGATTCTCCCCTGCCAACAAATGTGCAACAATACAACAAGACCTCACAATTTGTTCACTATCATCCCTAAAGGCTAATTTAAAGAATCCAAATGCAGTTTCTCTAGAGCCTAATAGTTTCATAACCTGTGCCAGCAATAATGGGCAAAACCGTCTAGAAAACTCCTTCAAAGCGTAGACTTGTTGCTTCTTTATTAGTCTTGATAACCCAACAGTGACTTTACGTCGTTCATTAGAGTTTATAGAGCTCAAGGATTTGGAGCTGGGGTCATTAGCAAATGGCAAAAACTGAGTAAAATAATCAAAGCTTCGGGAGCTTGTAATTAAGGTTCGAGTGGAGCTGAAAGTATGATAGTGTACCTTGAGAGAAGGGTGCATGCGACGCAGGTCAGCGGACATTGGGAACTTGCCTAAGAGCTGTACTGTTTTGTGGGTTTTAAGGGGACGAACCAGAGCTACCTGGTTCGGGGCAGAGTTACATGGTTCGCTAATTTGATCTCCAAAATGCGCGAACCCGCCGCCTCTGCAGCTGCCGTTGACAAAATATCGGCGATGTTCCAAAATATCGGCGAAATAGCTTCGAAATCTCGTACCGGCTGGATGTGTTGAAGAAATAGAGGGGAAAAGACTGAAATGTTGGCCTTGACGACGTTGCAGACGGCGATGCGATAAGGTCCTGTTCATAGGTTGCCTCGCGAGGAAGAAGAAGGCCCCCGCAACCTTCTGTTTGTTTTTCTTTTGAAAACTTGGTCCAAGACGTCACCGTTTCCTGTACGAGTGTACTGTCCATTTAGTGAAACGGTGCGTTTCAAGGCGTGTCTCATTGTGTATTATGAAATAGATGCATTCGAGTTTTATTCCCTTTCTCTTAATATTGGTTTGTTAAAAAAATTCTCTCTTATTTTTTGTATTTGTAATATTGATTTCTTTTTTCTTTTTCATACGAGTATTGAGTTGACCCGTTTAATAAACGGGTGAGTTTCGGGTCAATCCGCTAACCTGCTATAATACCTGTCCAACTCGTTTATTAAACAGGTCGTGTCAACCCCGCTTAAGTGATACCGCCACTTATATAAGGGTAGGTCGACCAGCGACGAGCGTACACTACACACACCACGGGGTTGCAATACTCGTCTCACCCTGATGCTCTATTAGTGAATGTCTTCTCACCAATTGTCTTCAATGGTATCTCATTGTGCTAGGCCTTGATGCCTGGTACTGATTAATAAGGTTATCAGTCTCTTACTTGGATGTTGTTTTCATTCTTTGTTATCTACTCTTCTCCTCTTATTGTTTCCCTTCTTTCTTTTCCTTCTTTTTTTTTTTTTTTTTTTTTTTTTTTTTTTTTTTTTTTTTTTTTTTTTTTTTTTTTTTTTTTTTTTTTTTTTTTTTTTTTTTTTTTTTTTTTTTTTTTTTTTTTTTTTTTTTTTTTTTTTTTTTTTTTTTTTTTTTTTTTTTTTTTTTTTTTTTTTTTTTTTTTTTTTTTTTTTAAAAATTTTTTTTTTTTTTTTTTAAAAAAAAAAAAAAATTTTTTTTTTTTTTTTTTTTTTTTTTTTTTTTTTTTTTTTTTTTTTTTTTTTTTTTTTTTTTTTTTTTTTTTTTTTTTTTTTTTTTTTTTTTTTTTTTTTTTTTTTTTTTTTTTTTTTTTTTATAAAAAAAAAAAAAAGGAGGGGGGGGGGAAGGGGAAAAAAGTAACCTGCTATAATACCTGTCCAACTCGTTTATTAAACAGGTCGTGTCAACCCGCTAACCCGCTTAATAAATGAAGAGAAATGGAGACTTCAACACACACAAGGGGTTTTGAACCCCTATCACCCTCATTTCTCTCAAGCGTCTTATCCACCATACTACAAACAACTTTGTGATTTTATTGTATGCCTTTTGATATTTATAATGTTTCTTTTTCTTTTGTGTTTTCCTTTCTTTTCTATCTCTCTTCTCCTCTTTTTTTTTTCTTTCTTTTCCTTCTTTCTTCTTTCTCCTCTCTCTCCTTTTTTTTTTCCTCTCTTTTCCTTTCCTCTTCTCTCTTTTTTTTTCTTTCTTTTCCTTCTCTTTAGTTTTCTCTTATCTCTCTTTTTTCTTTCTTTCTTTCCTTCAATCTTCTCTCTCTCTCTCTCTCTCTCTCTCTATTTTTTTCCTTTCTTTTCCTTCTCTCTTCTCTCCTCTCTCTATCTTTTTTTTCTTTCTTTTCCTTATATTTTCTCTACTCTCTCTGTTTTTTTTTAATTTAAATTTTTTCAGTTGTGAGTTTCGTAACATGCATATTATTATTTATGAACCCGTTACACGACTCGAAACCCGCACGATAAAAGACGACCCGAACCCGACACGACACGTCTATTAAATGGGTTGGGTTCGGGTTGAGCATTCTTGACACGTTTATTATCCTGACACGACACGAACCCGACATGACACGACCCATTGCCAGCCCTAGCTCTATGCGAAACTTAAACGGGGACCTCACATAATCTAATATGAAAATACTAAAGAAAAAAAAAATTCATGACTTAATACCTTAAAACAACTTTTTTAACAACTAAAATTCATCATCAATTAGCATACAATGATAATCATAAATCAAATTTATAAAAGTTTTAATGTTTAAATTTGAGAAAGAAAAAAAAGGGAAAAGAGGAAGAAGAAGACAATAACTTTTATTTTATTATTTACTAGCCCCTTGGCACATGCTCACGCATGTGCCAATTTGTTTTATTTTATATTTTATTTTTAGAATTAAGAAAAGATAACATGAGTAGTTATGTTCCATAAAAGTAAGACCTATTATCTGATTTTGTTTTTAATTTTTAATTTTTTTAATATAAAAAATATGAAGTTACCATATTATTCTCATTTAATTAATAATTTCAATTCTTAATATTTAAATTAACCAATGACATTTTATGGTATTTTGAATGTTTCACCATTCTCTGCCTTTTGCTTTATATATATATATATATATATATATATATATAGAGCTTCCATTGAGGGATCCCTCAAATAAGTTTATTTGAGGGATACCCCTTGTAGGGCCTACTCCGGATTGTATTTCACTAATCCAAACTGTCTACTTTGTAGATACTCATTCAAAGATCATCTTTACAAAAAAAATCACTTAAATCCGATATCATTTGACTATTCAATTGAGTTATTGAAAATTTAGTAATTTCTTGAAGCACCGTGTTCATTTATTTTGTAGAACACAATTGGATGTCGAAACGGTTTCCGATTTGTCTAATTTTTTGTAAGGATGATCTATTAATGAATACCTAAAAAGTAGATGGTTTGGATCATTAAAAAAAGATTGTATGATACCCTAAAGGGCGTCCCTCAAATAAAATTATTTGAGGGATCTCTCAATAGAAGTGGACTGTATATATATATATATATATATAGATTTTGAGTGGGTGAAAACATATACTCTTTTTTTTGGTTAATTGGAGAAAGCGTATATATACTGCTTGTATGTATTTATGTTGATATAAATTAAAATAGAGTAAAAATGTAAAAATACAACTTTTGAATGACACATTCCAAACTCGAACCCGAGTTACTTACTAAAATTGAGACAATGAAGACCAATAAAACAAAATACACAGTTGTGTTATCTTTCTACACGCTTAAATATATATAATACTAGTAATATTAATCTAGATAATATACACATCAAAAAATTTCGAGGCAGGGGCATGTGCAGTGGTTGTAGGAAACATGCATATAATGCTTAGGAAATGAACTTTAGCTACAACCTGTACAACAAAAACATTCTAAATGGCGGATTCATTTTGTTTATACTAGTTGAGCTAAATCTTTTTCATTTTAAACTAAGTATCTTAGCCTAGTCTCTTTGAATATGAATAAATCTTTACCCTTGATGACCTTTTCTTGATTTCTCATGATTGAACACCTTTGTTGGAAAGACCTTTTGTTTCTCTTGATTTTAACTCCTTCACCTTAAGGCTCCAAGATTGGAGTCCTCTGCCTCACCGCACCAAATGCTCGTAGAGATGAAGTATGGATGCTAGTCTACTTCTTGATTAGACCAATTTTTGGTTTATGGAAGATGAGATACAAAGATGATCACTCATCAACCAAAGTAGGAAACCAAAAACCATAACTAGGTTTTCTCCAACACTTAGCTTATATAGGACAACACAAAAGGCAATTGGGTGGGTATTTGGGGCTCTATTTGGTCCATGGGTCATGTCATCTTATGTCACTTATCCCTTGGGCCCAATAGCCTTTTGGTCTATTTTGTCCATTTCCTTTTAAATCATATTTAAAAGCCCAATCCAATATTTCTATATATCAATATTAATTCCATAATTAATCTTTTAATTATAATTTAACTATTAAATTATAATTATAGTCTTACTTAATTGACCCGATCGAACTATTTGACTTTGGTCAATTGCTCCGGTCAACATGTTGACTTTTGACTGTTGATTATCAACCATTGACTTGTGTGTCCTCATTTCATTTCTCCTCATTTGTACCTCTAATCACATTCTTTGGGCGTGCAGATCCGTAGGTTCCCTTTAGCAAGGTAGTGAGTTGACTTAACTCCTCAGAGATGATATACAAATTAAATTCCACAATTTAATTCTCTCTATTAATAAAGGTTAATTGAAACCTTTTAGGACATCCACAAACCATGGTTGTCGCCTAGCAGCAAGTCACGGTTATCCGAGCTAAATAAGACGTTGTGAAAGAACCTATTCAATTTGGAATGACCTTGCAATTGAATCATTCTCTTATGTTGATACTCTTTATTCACATTATCATATCATGGAATTTGATTGTCAATATCCTAATGTGAATCATTCCTTTTATATGATTATCTTGGTAAGATTTTGTAGGGGTCTTTTTATTTTAGCAGCCTAACGAATGAGCTGGGGCTGCCAAAAAGAGAAACAGGTGAAATTACCCCATGTGCCTGAGTTCAAGAATCAGGCACCAAGAATGCTTCAAAAGGGTAGTGAAGCCTTAGGAAGCATCTTGGTTATCTTCACTAGCAAAAACAACAAACTTACAGGTAGATTCTTAGCTTGGCATGAGAAGCTTGTGGCATGGGAGCAAAACCATTATGAGTTTAGCATAAACAAAGAGAGAGCTGTGAGTTCTTTTGAAAGACAGGGGTTCTAAGGAAAGGGGGAATGAATTCTAAGAGGGTTTGTTGAAGAGGGAGAGAGATGAGAGTATAATGGGTGTGTTGAGTAGTTTCCGGCAACTTGACGAAAAATCTGTCAAGCTTTGGAGTGTTTTAACATAAGAGAAAATGGGAGGAGATGGAAAAATAGGGCTCAAAATTGCAGAGGTTTCCGGGATGAGAGATGTAGCTTGCTCTCTGAATGTGTGTCTTGATTAGGATAAAGAAGAAGGAGATAGAAGGTGAGGCACTTGGCTTGATGTTTCAAGCAGTTAGAGAACAATCTTGCTCCATTGCTCAGGATGAGTTTAATGGGTAGGAGGTACCTCCTTTTATAGTCATTGGAAGCTCCTCCTTCCCAAGAAACCCTAATGGGTTCTCTCAAATTTTGCCAAGTCTCCCCTTTAATTTCTCTTCTCTCCCTTCGATCCATCCCATTTTGGGAAATTCTCCTCTGCCCAATCGCACCAAAAATAGGGTTTTGGGAGCTCTAGGCTTATCAGTGGTGATTTCTTATTTTTGGCTGTCATTTCTCCTCCTTTCCTCCCTTATTTCATGGCAAGATTTGGTGGGGGGAAAGAAATGGGTATGTACGTTGGTTTGAAGGGTGTTTTGCTTAAGCATCCCTTGGTTTTTCTGATGGCTTGTGTTGGGTTTGTCTTTGGCCATGTGCTGGAGTCTCCTAGTAGCCTGAGCGTAAAAACATCTCATGGTTTTCTATCATGGTTTCATTTCAAACCATGTGCTGGAGATTTTTGGATATTTTCTAAGCTATTTGGGCCTTGCTAAAGTGATGAATTAGCCCATTAAGAACATGGGCTAATTTCCTTAAGTGATGGGCTAACTTTCTGGGTATTCAAGCTAATTTTCTAGGGTATTTGGGCTTTTTCCTCTCTTTTATGCTTACCCACATATTTGGGCTTAAGAAATGGGCCTGAGTTTTGGGGCTCCCAAGCAGCCCAAAACTTCAATTTCTCGGCTCATCAATGTTTACCATTCATACCACAACTCACTCAAGCAAGCCCCGGGCATTTGCGTGGCTTAGCCCCACTTAAGCTTGTAGCGTGGCTAGGTGTAATAATAATGATTTTTCGCTTGGCATTGCACGTCGCTTGGCGTGCTTGAATTTTGTCGCTTTGAAGAAAGACATAGTGCTTGACGGAATAATTAGCATGAGTTTGTAGAGCCAATGCCTTTTATAGGCTCATTTTAATTCTTAGCGTGATAAATTGCATATTTATTTGGCATGGCACGTGGTCATGGCTTGTGAAAGCGTGCATGACGAATTTCGAATGCTCCGAACTGGTTCTTTTCTTAATAAGGTGTCGCACTGGACCAAGAATTTATTTAGACCCAACCCTGGATTTTTGGACCTCAACATTAGCCCCCTTAATTATTAGAGCCATGGATAAGTGCTGGAATGAGCCGAATAATTAAACCCGACCCAAAAATCAATTTCATAAGCTCCTTTGTGGTTTCCCAGATACCCACTTCCTCCTTCCTCTTTTATATTTATTATTTCTTCCTTCTTCTCTTTCCTCCTTACGCGCAGCAGAGTAACCCTCTCCCTATCACCTTCATCTTCTTTTTCCTTTTCTTCCTTTAATGAACTCAGAGCAAGAGTGAGTCAGTGAGATCAAGAAGAACCACTTGTCTACAGTCATTGGAAGGGAGCTCAAGCCAAACCTGACTCCGTTATTCCTCGCATGAAGAAAACCACTTGCTATTGCTAGATGAGATTGTTTCTGTGCATACTTTTCTTTCAAAATTCTCAATTCCTTCTTTCTTGGTGAATCTGAGGCTATCCTTTGAGGGGATTAACAAGGTATGCCCCCTTTTTCTTGCAATTTCTTGAATATATTGAGGGTTTTGTTGGGTTCTTCATGCCCATAGGTTTTGCTCTTTGTTTAGGCAGCCAAGCACCCATTCCTTTTGACCCATCCATCTTTTGTTGAAGTAATTGTCAGTGAGGAAGGGTTTGCGTCAGTTTTTGAGGTTATCCCTTTTTGATTTCTTTCTTTTGGCAAGCTGCTGGAAGAGTGCGAACTTTGTGAGAAGAAATCTTTGGAATGGATTGCATCCTTTTCTTGTCTCCATTTTTCTTCCTTTTTTATCATGTGTTGGCCCCTTTTGAGCTGGTGAAAAGGCTGGACTTTGCACGATGCGCTTTTTCTATGTAGATGTATACGTCTCCGGCACAGGCAGGGAAAGGTGCTGGAAGCCTGCGTCGTATTCCCTGCTGCTGGAAGCTTCGAGTGTACTGATTTTGCAACTTGGCAATTTGAATTTCTATCTCGATTTCTTAGTAAATAGTTCTGCTCCTTTACTAGAATCGTGAGTCTTTCTTTTGGCTTTGTAGGAACAGGCATAGACTGGTGTTTGGCCTAGGCTCATTCTTCCTGTGAACACTTGCTTGATTAGCTTTGGGCTTTCTCCTATGTCGCGTGAAAAGGGCTGTTAAGAAACTAACATAATGCATGTTTTGCAATGCTTGAATTTTGTATTATTGGGAGAGAATTTTGCTTGCCATGGGAATTACTTGTCGATCATGGAATGAGAATTTTGCTTGCCATGGGTAAATTGCATGCTGCTTGGTGTGAGCTTTACTTGCCATGCTTGGCATTAATTTTGCGTATGCTACGTTCTTGACCACCTTTCTAATTGTCGTTGAACTATATGCATCACTAACGTATGCTTGTAACCGCATGATTAATACATAGGATTAAAGGCTGTTGAAAGCTTGAGGAAAGCACCATTGGTTTCTTTTTACGAGCTTAGTGCTTGGACATGGATAACTATTTATGTTTTGGCTTTATAGGGATAGATTTGAAGACTTCTTCTTTCAAGTCTTATCCACTACTCTGCGCTGAGATTTCACCAATCATATCTTGGAGTATTCTCTCTCCTTTACTGAGAGTAGAGATTGATTGTTGTACATTCATTTGCCTCCATGACTCTATTGAGAATCCTAATGAGCACCTTTAAGCTATGCCTAATTCAACATCACCGTATAATGCCCTCAAAGATTAACAACATAGCCACAAAACATCTATGATGCCTTAGGTCTAAGGATTAGTTTGCACCATTGCAATTTATGAGTTCCAGCTTGATATGTGAGTAAAGACTTCCATGCTGTAACTCATGTGTTGGATAGCGTTCAGTGTACTTGTTCTTCTACAAGCACCTACACACATATCAATGTGTCTCCATACTTAATGACTTGAGACCTTGTCATTCCCTACATGTAGAGATGATACTATGTGTATTGGTCTTTGCAGAATATTGACCGCCAATCAATATTCCTATGACCGATAACATATTCAGGATTTAGGGATGATGAGAAGTCTCTATGTATGCAATCTTATTACATAGCTCTCATATCCACTTGTGTATTCCTTAGACTATGGTTGTTCTACATATTGAAAGATAATATAGGATGATTTAATGTATAAAACAAACTTTCTTGCCTATTGATAACATAATATGTCTTTTATCAAAGATGTCATAAACTATAACTATTACATAATTAATTGGCTTTAAGGGAATATTTCTAATAGTGGTACCACTTGCACACCCTCAGGGCCACCCTTGCATCAAGCCAAAACAGTCAGTTGGGTATAGAGAGATTTGAAACCCCAGACACCCAATGAATATGTATGTAAACTCCACTCCCCCACCACTCGTACTAAAAAAAAATTAGGAAATAGCTTAAAATGCCACCCTTTTCATAATTTTAACTAAAAATACCACCCCTTCCCAATTTTTTTGCAATTATCACCTATAAATACATACTTATTGCCCATTTATTGGCCAAATAACACTTTTGGTCATTTTTTGGTTTCTCTCTCAGGTCTCTCTCAACTCTATCTCACAAAACCCACAGCTTTGCCCTCAAAATCCAATTCTTCCGCTTCCTCTTTGTTTTGTTCTCTACCCAAATCCAATTAAAAGGGTGGCATTTTGAGCTATTTCCCTGTAATGGAATTGTGCAAGGCCCCCAAATCCACCCCCTTTTGACTTAAAACAACAAATCCACAAACCCTAACCAATGAGAGAGGGAGCTATTTCAATCGCAATACAGACCCTCAAGCTCAAGCAAAAGACATGCTTTAGGCGAAACGACTCAAAGCACTTCTTTGGTAAGCTTCCAATTTGCTATTTACCCACTTCTATTATTTGGATTAGAGGGACCTTATGGCATAGAAATTAGCGACAACATCAAGAAGTAAAAATGAAAGACTAAAACTATAATCTTCTCGCCAAGTGCAACCATTGACTATTCACGATAGGTTAAACTGTACATGTTTGGAATTTGAAGCAATTGAAAACACGATTGTTGTTCTTATTTTATTTTTCAATAGAAAAAGAACAGAAATCAAGGTTTCTGGTATTTAGTGCATGTATAACATTATGCGTTTATAATATTTTGCATAGAGTGTGAACTATTTCTACAATGTAATTTGGAGGGAGTTTCTGTGGGGAGTTAATTCTTTAATCTGTCAATGTAGTTTGGAGGGAGTTTCTGTGTGGAGCTAATTCTAGGGCATTTGGAGAAGGAATAATGCGTCCAGTTGTCTCTATAAAGATAAGTTTCTGTTGGGAGCTATTTTCAGGGCATTTGGGGACTTGTAAAGACATGTATTTAGAGCCAAGCTTATCTTTGTGCAATTCATGTATGATCATAGAGTACATATGTTATCGATGTAGCATTCACGGGTAATGGGTAAAACTTAATTTTTTGGTATGCAATCATATGGATGGAATTTAACTTGATGTAAATTATATGTAAGAAAGTAAATTTTTGAGTATTGGTATCCAAATGTATGGTTCCTCCTCCTTCCCTCTTCTCTCTTTTTTTCATCATGATGGGGATCAGGGAATTAAGAGTCTTGAAGACTGTTGGCCTCTTAACTCAATCCTTGTGTGTCATCCAAATAGTTAGTTTGGTTTTGGCTGAATTTTTTTGTTTGGGATTGAGAACGTTAACAGGATTTTAGATTGACATCTCATTCATCCTTCTTGTAACTACATTTCATTAATAAAATCTGTGAGTGTTATAAGAAAAATTTAAGTAAAAGAATATATTAGTGTGAGGTTGTGCTACATGCAATCAGGTTCACCATGAGGCCATTAGTTCACTGTAAAATACTGGAGGTCTTTGCCTGCCAACAATTGCAGATTTAATTTTTCTTTCATTTGACAGATGCTGGTCCACACTCGCAAGAGATGTGTCATTTAGTGGTCTAATGGTATGTTGAATAGTGATAGTTTGTATGCATCCTTTTTCTTTTGGCCTTTCCCATAATTGCTTGGTAACACTGGGAAAATACGACTGCAACTCCAAATAGTCAAAATTTATTCTAATAGTATTGCTACTTCTTAACATGCACTCCCCCACACTTGCTTATTACTAGATTTTGTTTTAAGATATTTTTGTTTGGAGAAAAAGAACTCTGTTTTTATAATCTAAAAGACTAGCTATCTATGTCCCACATCTTGGGACTAATTGAATGTGCTTTTTGATATTGAAAGGAACCTAGCATCTTTGGTTGAAAAAATGAAGGTGTTACTGCTGAAGTAATTTCTAATTGATTTCAATTTGCCTATAAAACTTGTTGACTGGTGCTCAACAAGTTGGGTTTTTGTAGCTTGAATTGGCATATAATTTAGGTTCGCTTTTTGCATGTGAGTGTTTTAATGGATTGGATCTTCTACCTGTATGTTTGTCAAATCTCAATTATGTTTCTAAGATGAGTTGTGCAGTAGTGTTGGTTGAAATTAATATGTTATTTATTCATTGAAAGCATATTGTTTCCCAACGGTGAGTATTTGACCAAATTATAATTTGCTGCAGTTTTGTCTTGACAATTTATGTTTCTTTCTCTTTTTCTTTTCAAGTTGTATAAGGAGAAGAAAAGCCGCACCCAACTCGTTTCCGTGTGAAGAACAAATTTGAGGTTAACAGTTACACAATGTGTTTTAGCTGGTTTGTGCAGACACTGATGTGCAAGTCATACACTGGCGTTGGAGACCATTTTGTGCATAATTTAATGTGTAGACAAGGAGTTTTTTGAGATTCCTTCTGAAGACAAAAGCAAAGCTTCTATTATGAAAATGCTAAGCAAACTTGCAGCAAACTATACACATAATTGATTATGCTTTTTATTATTAGTAAGGACATCTAAAACATTATGTATTCTTCTTGTGGAGCCGTATGTTTCTAATATTTGTATAATGTACTTCATACTGTTTTTGAGGTCATTATTATAATGATATGAAATTTTCATACATGGTTATTATTTTTTATGTACTATTTATTATCTATAGCAACTGAATATTGTAATAGTTCAACAATTAGAACATTATATAATATGGGAAAGAGAGTACAAAGACATCAATAAGGTACTTGTTTATTGCCATTTTATTACTTTGGCATTGGTTGTCTATTGCCCCTTTATTGCTTGTTTATTGCTTTAATATTTTTTTTGTATTGCATGTCTATTGCCACTTTATAATCTACATGACATTATAATGGAGTGGAAGCAACTATGGATATCGTCAAAATTAACCATTCTTATATTGTCATCTTTTATGTTTCGAAACTGTCGTATACGTGACTGCCATCTCTTGCTCAAGATCCCAAAGTTTTTAAGTAAACTGAATTTAAATTTCATTTAATGGTATCAAAATAATTACATGGTCTCCTATACAATAATATTCAATACAAGTTTTTTATTTCACATAATTTTAAAAAATGACCAAGTATCTCAATTAACAAATTAAAAACAAATTAAATTCTTCAAATTAAAGTTTGTTGACCTATGTGGCGATTTGAAAATGTTGTATTTGGTGGCTTACAATGGGTCTTTATGACCATTGCAGTTGTAGCTCAGCTCTCTCTCTCTCTCTCTCCCGTGCAGTTGTATCCCTTTCGCGCAGCTCTCTCTTGCTAGCGCTCTTTGTTCTGAATTGTCCCCATCTCTCTGTTTTGAATAAGGAAACCCCCCATCGACCCCATCTTCTAGGTATGTCTTCTGAATAACGTAAGGTTGCAGTTACTTGCAACCTTGAAGCTCTACTCCATTGCCGACCTCCAATAGGTAGTCTTGATGGTCATTTTCTTAATCTCCGTGGGATTATGTGAAATTGGTTTTATTTTGATTGCTTGGGATTCTATGAAATTAAATTGCTTTGGGTAATGTTTTTTGAATCTTCATGCTCATCCATCTGGGTTTTTACCAAATGCATTTAGATTGCTCTGGATATGTGAATCTTGAAACTTAGGATTTTCCATTTGATGTAGTAGATTTGTATAGTCTGATTGTGATGAATCCTTGTTAAGTGTTGTGTTATTGTTGTTGTGTTGCTATTGTGTTGTGGTTATATTGCTATTGTGTTGCTGTTATATTGCTTTTGTATTATGGTTGTATTGCAGTGATTTGGTCATGGCTTCAAATGTGTTAATGAAATGTTGTTGTCATGATCAGAAATGAAGACAATTGTTATTCTGGAAGAGAAAAAGAAATATGTCGTCCAACAATTCACAAAATCTGAAGAATATAACTATGAAATGGTTGAATGTTTCAACAAGGCTTCGAGATGTTCCGAGATTATGCTTCGGTCGTCTCACCGGACTACAATTGGAGCACAATTGATGTAGCTGGTGTCTAGCAGGTGCTGAATATGGGTGGAGAGGGAATGGCTCATCATAACCTCGTGCATATAGCGAGGATGAAGGCCAAAGACATGGATCTTTTGATGGACCTCTAATAATTTGCATTTGCCATGGTTTGTGCAGCTGGGTGAGGGTAAGTGCTGGTTCGCTTCATATTTTGGTGGGTAGCGATTGATTTTGAATGTCAAAATTGAAGGTAGTCTGAAATGGATGTCTGCGTATTGTACGTGTATTGACCTAATATTGGCACCCTAGTGTTCTTATATCACTACTTGTTTTTCTGTATATTGTCTGTATATTGACCTAATATTGCCACCTTATTGTATGTATTTTGTGTCAGCTGGTACTTAGAAGTGTGCCACTTGTTTGTTTATTTTGTAATTGTAACCCAACATTGTCTATATATTGCATAACAACGACGGGCTACTGTTATACCTCCATAAAGACAAATTATAGATTTGTTTATATATCGAGCTGTACGAAAAACCTCAACTAAACAATCTAAAGAATAAGTATGCTAACGATGACGACAACTCCAAAACAAAAGCACAATTTGAAAACCGAATCAGAATTACATCCCTAGTGGCATTGATTAGACGTACTACCCAATTTCATTTCACAAAATGAAAATTGATGCATATTCCTACTCCAAAATGAGTACAAGCTATCTACCATGTCTACAAAATGGATACAGTTTATCTGCCATGTCTACAAAATGGATACAAGTTATGTGCCATGTACGGCAAGTAGCCACTGCCACCGACTATACAATTTCCCAATATCACCATGTACAACATGGCTGCAGACCTTGTAAATGATTTCACGTTGCTACACAAAATAGCTAAAGCAACTAGGTGTATCGAACTGGATGGATCACCATATAAAGCAGCTCCCCTAGAGCTTCCATGTCTGCATATTCATATAAAGGATAAACTAAAATAATTAAATTATGACTGAATGGCCAAGTGATAAGTGAAGACTGAATTCAATTGAGAAACATTATCACCTGTATCTCATATATATGCCTCCCCCCTCAAAGCCTCTATCTTAAGCTTCAGTCGGTAATAGGTGATCTTCAATGAGTCAACTTTATCCACACAAAAATGCCAGCACTGAGATGCTCGATGAATTTGACCGTCATTATTCTGCAAGAGGCACTGTCGGGCCAATAAGTTCATAAATGAGAACTACACTTACTTACAATATCAATAAACTCCATTACATTAACATAGTTTACCCATCACATTGTTGGGGCAGATCTCCAATGTTGCAAATTGTGCAGCAAAAACTAATATACATTCCCGCCCCACCCAGCTACTTGGCAGCTGAACCAAGGCCTAAAGGTGCATGTCACATTGAAGATATTTCCCTTCGTAATTCTTCAAGTCTGTGCTCGAACAAGTGATTCATCTTATATGACTTGTTTATCATGTGTCCTTCAAATTACTTGTCTCTTGCTCCAATTTCTGTCTCACAAGGATTTAAGTCTTTACCTTACATGATCATTGACAATTAACTAACAACACACCCAGTACTCTGCCACTCCTACATACTATAATATCTAAAAAGACACGTCTCCAGACACCAGATAATCATGAGACAGCTTAAGCTAGAATGGGAATGTGCGGTAGCAGAAGCCTAACTGAGAACAATTCAAGACTAACGATAGAAATCTATCTTACTAAAAAGAGTTTTAAAAAACAAGAAGACATTGGGAAACAATTGATTGACTTCAAGGTATAATGTAATGGAACATCCTATGAATTAGTGGCAACCACAATAATGACTCCAATATGCCCTCCTTTCAAATGAATGAAATTGGCTCCATCCCTTCAGTTTTTTCTTAACAAAATTAGAGGTCTGTATGTGTTGTCTGCTTTATCGATATCAAAGATAAATTAATAAATAAACCATCAAAACTGTATAAAATGTTTATTAGACATGTACAATTACAAAATTAAAAGTTCTCCTCAGAAACAGAGTTCTCTAAGTATCCATACACAAAAAAGAAAAGCAAAAGCTTAAAGAGGTAGCTTATAGCAAAATCCATGTCCCCATTTCTCTAAACCACACCTGCTGGTGGTAGGTTCCCATCTTCACTCATTTCCTTCTTTCTTTTAAGCAAACAATGATCAAGCACAAAAAAGAAAACTTTTAAAGAACTCATATTACACCACATATGGTTCTTTGCCCTTCGTTTAGACATTGAATATTCATCCCCAAACAAATTCCAAAGAATCACAAGAAAATATGAAAACGAAAGAAAACTTATCCATATCCAATATGCAAGCCCTAAAGTTAGTAAATAGAGTTATAAAAAAATATGTCAAATTAACAAGCATTATTCTCAAACAAAAAGTATGATATGGTTGGGAGTTTACAAGTTAAAAATGATATACACAGGTTAATTGTCTTAGACTTTAGATATCATCTTCAGGAAAGAAAATAGATACCGATTAGACTTGTAAGAAGGTTAAATGCAATGGTTATAAAGACCCATAGTAAGCCACCAAATACCAATTAATAACTGCTACAAAAACCATAATAAAACCGTAATAAACTAGAAATACAACAGCACTAAAATGCCAATACAACATCAGAGAAACCTCGAAACCAATTTCAGTGAAATCCCTAAACCAATTTCAGAGAAACCCCTAAACCCTAAACCAATTTCGAACAAACTCATAAATTCATAGAAACCCATAAACCCTAAACCAACTTCAGAGAAACCCCTAAATTGTAAGAAAATGACGATGAACAGTACCTGTTGGAGGTGAATAATGGAGTTGAGCTTCGATGAACAAATTTGGCTAGGAGAGGAAGAGAGAAGAGAGAGTGAAAGCTGAGCGACAAGAGACGAGAGAGTGAAGAGAGAGTGAGAGCGAGAGCCAAGAGAGATCTGAGAGAGAACTTTAGCAAAAGTGATATGTGTGCAATAAGTGGACAATAAATATATATTTATAGGTGATATAGTTCCAAAAATTTTGGAAAGATGTTGTATTTTCAGTTAAAATTATAAAAAGGGTGGCATTTAGAGCTATTTCCCAAAAAAAAATTAGCAACAAAACATGGATATTTAATAATTAAAAGAATACATGTTTAAATCATTTCAACATAAACTTTAAAAAGTAATAACATACTTTAAGAACAGGACATAGTTGATATAAACTTCAAAAGAATAAAATAAACACAATGCTTTTGGTTTCAAGTAGAACTGCTTTGAAATTATTTCATAAGCTGGTTTGTTCCAAACAAGCTTCTTATGATCGAGCAACTCACAAGGTTAAATTTACAAATATCTAACCTCAGCTTGACTTGTTTCTATTATGCACCAAGTTTAAACGATCCAAATCCAGGCCAAGATTGAGCTCGAGTTGTATCGAATTAATTTACAACCCTAGATTTTGCCAATGAGACGGCAGGATGCTAATGGTAGTTTAAGCCTTTTGTGTGTGTTCATCCGTTTTGATGTAGTTCCTGTGATGGTAGGGTAAAATTCCCCATTGTATTGAAAACCATTGGCGGTCAACAAGTCAACTTTCTTTGGTGTGCGAGTGCGCCACTATTAGCAGCTAAAAACTCTAACAGATTTATAAAAAATTTAATAACTTGCGCCCCAAGCTATGGACTTTGATCAAGTGATTGTGAATTTGGGTGAAAAATATCTCCCAAGTAAGTTCTTTTCTTACCTCAAACAGGCGAGAACTTTACAATTTCCCACAGTAAAAACTAGTAATTCTAGCCAAAAATGAATGTTGCAAGTGATCCGGACTTAATTCAAAGAAAATTATTTATTTCACAATTTAAACAAAAGAGAACTGCCAAGTTTGGAATGACATAAGAACATTGGACTTCTATTTCTGCTTGGATTGTTGCCTGTGATTTAGGCTAAACTGGATATATCTGTGCTGGAATTGCACATCAGCACCTTCAACTGGTAGAGTTTAGCTGGAAATCGATACTAATGTTGAGATTGGCAGAGCTTTAATCTATTTTAGCCATGGAGAGGCTTGCAAATGGGCATAATTGAAATCTCTTCAGTCTGGGCTGGATTCGAAGTGGCTGGATTGACGATTGCTGACCTGGAACTGCACTTCGGTACCTGCTCTGCTTAACTGTGGATCACCTGAGAGCTATTCTGGTGATTCTGAGACATTAAGGTTTCCTTGAAAATTTGTTGAGGTTTTCATATTATGAAAAACTCAAACTCACTTGATTCACCTAGCTTGAACCAAATTTGTAACGAGAGAATTCTCGTTTCCCTTGTGAGCTGCTTCTTTGAGCTTAATTGTAGTCGGAAGTATGAGTTCTACCTGTTTTGTCAGAGGCTGGATGACTTTCGCAAAAACAAAGAGCTTGGTTTTCTTTGAGTCTAAAAGCTTTGGGATCGAATGATCTTGTTTGAGTTTGTCAGAATGACTGGGAGTTTTTATTTTTTATTGAATTTTTGCTGTCCTCAATCCTGTTCACATCATCCTATATTTATAGGAGCTCTGCATGAGTGACTATTCCCTAAAATCTAAAGGACATATTGTTGAGATCTGACAAGAAAGGCCCCATCAAGAGTCAGCTTTCAAGATAATCAATTTTGACTTTTTAACAACCCACTCTCTTATTTCTTGTTTATCTTCTTGTAAACCCAGCTTTGTACTAACGAGAAATCCTCACGAGTATGGGAAGAAAACTTGGCCCTCTTTTCTGGCGTTAAATGGTTATGGGGAGTGGTTTTTGATTTTGCCTTTCTACCAACTCCCCTTCAGGTCCTCTGCCCCCTTTCTGTGAATGTCTTGTCATTGGGGTCACGTGGGCACTGTGGAGAGAAAAATCCACCCTACTATCTGTTGATTTGATCTCCGAATTTGTGATCAACGGTGATGATCAAACATTTGAGCCTTTTGGAAAAAATTGGAAACTAGGTATCAATTTAAACCAACTAAAACTGGCTTTTCTAGATTAAATCACCATTAACGGCAATTAATCTTTAACCTGTAAGATTATATTTGCAATTGGTTCGCAATGGTCTGGGTATCTAAAACATTCTGTGCTGACTTCTAATTTTGGTAAAACAAAGCCCAAGCTACTGTTGTTGACATGGGGCAATAGTCAAATGGGCTGGCACATGGAATTTAGGCCCAAATAGTATAGAAATCCCAATATGACCAAAATAGGAATAAAATTACTAAGGAATTCCTGCCAACCAAGCAGGGAATAGTAAAATGCCCCTAACATTTTAACATTAAAATATGTTGGGAAGCAATCCAAGTTGATCCAATTCATCGTTGCTCATGTGAGTAAACCAAATTGATCAAACAAAAAAATCAGGTTTATTCCGACAAAGGCTACCACTGACTAGGAATTCAATTTGAATTATTTTGAAACAGAATTCTACAACTCTTATATGAAAAAAGCGAACTCCAAACTTGAATACCGGCTGCTAAAACTGGCTCAACTGATGCCACCCTGCGATAATGTTACTCAAGTACATCATCTCTGGTTCAACTCAAATGGAAAAATAAAGAGATAATATATCTTGCCGGCAAGAATGATGAAACAACATCGGTGCTGCAATTTACTCCCCAACAGTCAATCCAAACCCAAATTTGTAGTCTTTCTTTCTGTGATCAATCTGCAAAGCATATATTTTAGTACTTGTCAAGAAAGAAATGGCAAAGCAGGGTGCTTAACGAGAAGCGAATTGTCTAAATCAACTACAAACCAAAATATCCACCAAGCTAAAGCAAGCAATGAAGCTGCTAATGCATAATCAATAATCAGCTGGTATTTTTGGAATCGTCAACATAACCATTGGATCATGGCATTGTCATCTAGGCAAGGAGAAATTCTTGTCAGAGGCAGCCGCATGGGGCAGCCCTCTCACGGTGGAGAAAAACTTGCCTTCAAGGGTTCATACAATTTTTCTACTGAGTGTGGTTGGACCCACATGTAGGTCCCACTCAACTGTGAGAAGGCTTCCTTATGTGGCTGCCTCACCTAAGAATCACCCCTAAGCAAGCTAAAGTAAACAAAGCATGTTTGCCTTAATTCAGAAGAGGAAGAAGAGAAAACAAAACATTGACAGATACCTCTGCAGAAAGGACAAAATTAAGACCCATATTTAGTCGCTCTTCCAAAAATGCAGCCACGGTGCCATTGGAATCAATCTTTCCTCTAAGACGGCACTGCAACAAAGATCATAGTGGTCAAGGAGAATGATCACAACTTAAAATTCATACCTTATTGAACAACTCATAACAGGTAACCACGCAATCCAGCTTAGAGTTGTCCACAACAAAGGGCACAAACAAAATTCACAACCGGCTTTTATATCGCCACAATAAAAAACCAAGAAAGAATCCCATATCAATTATGATGGCAGAAATGTTTTTCGCCAGCAGCAGCAATTGTGGAGATGACAAATGCAAGAACGACCATGTCAATTAGACAAACTAAGTCTCATCAGGAAGACACTGATACTAATATTTAGGTGTGTATAAATACATGCATGCACTGCACATGTACGTAAGCATCTTATGTTGCCAGCTGAATCTGGCTAAGAAAATTTTCCATGTGGAATCATATCAATGTCAGCATAACATTAACAGGCCGCAAAGTCCAGTGGTATTACTAGCACACCTGATTATAGTAAACTGAAAAATCATGTTTCATGAGGGCATTCACCTACTAGGTGGTAACATTGTCCAACAGCAATCAGATACCACTGATTGTGCAACCTTGCCATGGACCTAGGCCTATGGTAAGATAACAATGTATGAAGGAGAACATAAAGAATATCTATGTATTGCAATGAAGTGAGAATTGTTGATTTATACATCTCTCACTATCATCATTATCGCGATCATCATCTCAACATGAAATATTCCAGAGATAGGGTTAAGCATGCAAGATATAATTACACCAATATCATGAATATTTGAACATTCACAATATAAAACCTACCTGTCGAAGAATGTAATCATAACCAAAACTAGCTGTGACGTCTCGTGACATGTAGTTGTACATGAAATCCGATGCTAGAGAAACCTATAAGGAAGCAACACTGTAAGAAAGAGTATTCGAAGAAACCACGAAAAAGACAAACTGCTGCAAGGTACTTCAACAATATAAAATTTAAAACCTGAATCAATATTCAACCACAGATGAACTTTGCTCACCTTCTCAGAAACTTTTTGTACATAGCTCAGAGCAACCATTCCAGTGCTAGCGACTTGCCCTGTGGCAACCTGGGGTGCAAAACAAGTTGAATTAGGGTATGAATCACATGATAGTTACGAGTCAAATTCTTGCCAATACAATCAGCAAGGAAACTTCAGGGGTACATATAAGAAAATCAAGTAGAAACATGCATCATTAAATTAGTGGAGTATGTTTTAGAGCTGCCCAAGAATCTACCAGGTTTTTTTTTTTTTTTTTTTTTTTTTTTTTTTTTTTTTTTTTTTTTTTTTTTTTTTTTTTTTTTTTTTTTTTTTTTTTTTTTTTTTTTTTTTTTTTTTTTTTTTTTTTTTTTTTTTTTTTTTTTTTTTTTTTTTTTTTTTTTTTTTTTTTTTTTTTTTTTTTTTTTTTTTTTTTTTTTTTTTTTTTTTTTTTTTTTTTTTTTTTTTTTTTTTTTTTTTTTTTTTTTTTTTTTTTTTTTTTTTTTTTTTTTTTTTTTTTTTTTTTTTTTTTTTTTTTTTTTTTTTTTTTTTTTTTTTTTTTTTTTTTTTTTTTTTTTTTTTTTTTTTTTTTTTTTTTTTTTTTTTTTTTTTTTTTTTTTTTTTTTTTTTTTTTTTTTTTTTTTTTTTTTTTTTTTTAGGTTTTCTCTTATCTCTCTTTTTTCTTTCTTTCTTTCCTTCAATCTTCTCTCTCTCTCTCTCTCTCTCTCTCTCTATTTTTTTCCTTTCTTTTCCTTCTCTCTTCTCTCCTCTCTCTATCTTTTTTTTCTTTCTTTTCCTTATATTTTCTCTACTCTCTCTGTTTTTTTTTAATTTAAATTTTTTCAGTTGTGAGTTTCGTAACATGCATATTATTATTTATGAACCCGTTACACGACTCGAAACCCGCACGATAAAAGACGACCCGAACCCGACACGACACGTCTATTAAATGGGTTGGGTTCGGGTTGAGCATTCTTGACACGTTTATTATCCTGACACGACACGAACCCGACATGACACGACCCATTGCCAGCCCTAGCTCTATGCGAAACTTAAACGGGGACCTCACATAATCTAATATGAAAATACTAAAGAAAAAAAAAAATTCATGACTTAATACCTTAAAACAACTTTTTTAACAACTAAAATTCATCATCAATTAGCATACAATGATAATCATAATCAAATTTATAAAAGTTTTAATGTTTAAATTTGAGAAAGAAAAAAAAGGGAAAAGAGGAAGAAGAAGACAATAACTTTTATTTTATTATTTACTAGCCCCTTGGCACATGCTCACGCATGTGCCAATTTGTTTTATTTTATATTTTATTTTTAGAATTAAGAAAAGATAACATGAGTAGTTATGTTCCATAAAAGTAAGACCTATTATCTGATTTTGTTTTTAATTTTTAATTTTTTTAATATAAAAATATGAAGTTACCATATTATTCTCATTTAATTAATATTTCAATTCTTAATATTTAAATTAACCAATGACATTTTATGGTATTTTGAATGTTTCACCATTCTCTGCCTTTTGCTTTATATATATATATATATATATATATATATATAGAGCTTCCATTGAGGGATCCCTCAAATAAGTTTATTTGAGGGATACCCCTTGTAGGGCCTACTCCGGATTGTATTTCACTAATCCAAACTGTCTACTTTGTAGATACTCATTCAAAGATCATCTTTACAAAAAAAATCACTTAAATCCGATATCATTTGACTATTCAATTGAGTTATTGAAAATTTAGTAATTTCTTGAAGCACCGTGTTCATTTATTTTGTAGAACACAATTGGATGTCGAAACGGTTTCCGATTTGTCTAATTTTTTGTAAGGATGATCTATTAATGAATACCTAAAAAGTAGATGGTTTGGATCATTAAAAAAAGATTGTATGATACCCTAAAGGGCGTCCCTCAAATAAAATTATTTGAGGGATCTCTCAATAGAAGTGGACTGTATATATATATATATATATATAGATTTTGAGTGGGTGAAAACATATACTCTTTTTTTTGGTTAATTGGAGAAAGCGTATATATACTGCTTGTATGTATTTATGTTGATATAAATTAAAATAGAGTAAAAATGTAAAAATACAACTTTTGAATGACACATTCCAAACTCGAACCCGAGTTACTTACTAAAATTGAGACAATGAAGACCAATAAAACAAAATACACAGTTGTGTTATCTTTCTACACGCTTAAATATATATAATACTAGTAATATTAATCTAGATAATATACACATCAAAAAATTTCGAGGCAGGGGCATGTGCAGTGGTTGTAGGAAACATGCATATAATGCTTAGGAAATGAACTTTAGCTACAACCTGTACAACAAAAACATTCTAAATGGCGGATTCATTTTGTTTATACTAGTTGAGCTAAATCTTTTTCATTTTAAACTAAGTATCTTAGCCTAGTCTCTTTGAATATGAATAAATCTTTACCCTTGATGACCTTTTCTTGATTTCTCATGATTGAACACCTTTGTTGGAAAGACCTTTTGTTTCTCTTGATTTTAACTCCTTCACCTTAAGGCTCCAAGATTGGAGTCCTCTGCCTCACCGCACCAAATGCTCGTAGAGATGAAGTATGGATGCTAGTCTACTTCTTGATTAGACCAATTTTTGGTTTATGGAAGATGAGATACAAAGATGATCACTCATCAACCAAAGTAGGAAACCAAAAACCATAACTAGGTTTTCTCCAACACTTAGCTTATATAGGACAACACAAAAGGCAATTGGGTGGGTATTTGGGGCTCTATTTGGTCCATGGGTCATGTCATCTTATGTCACTTATCCCTTGGGCCCAATAGCCTTTTGGTCTATTTTGTCCATTTCCTTTTAAATCATATTTAAAAGCCCAATCCATATTTCTATATATCAATATTAATTCCATAATTAATCTTTTAATTATAATTTAACTATTAAATTATAATTATAGTCTTACTTAATTGACCCGATCGAACTATTTGACTTTGGTCAATTGCTCCGGTCAACATGTTGACTTTTGACTGTTGATTATCAACCATTGACTTGTGTGTCCTCATTTCATTTCTCCTCATTTGTACCTCTAATCACATTCTTTGGGCGTGCAGATCCGTAGGTTCCCTTTAGCAAGGTAGTGAGTTGACTTAACTCCTCAGAGATGATATACAAATTAAATTCCACAATTTAATTCTCTCTATTAATAAAGGTTAATTGAAACCTTTTAGGACATCCACAAACCATGGTTGTCGCCTAGCAGCAAGTCACGGTTATCCGAGCTAAATAAGACGTTGTGAAAGAACCTATTCAATTTGGAATGACCTTGCAATTGAATCATTCTCTTATGTTGATACTCTTTATTCACATTATCATATCATGGAATTTGATTGTCAATATCCTAATGTGAATCATTCCTTTTATATGATTATCTTGGTAAGATTTTGTAGGGGTCTTTTTATTTTAGCAGCCTAACGAATGAGCTGGGGCTGCCAAAAAGAGAAACAGGTGAAATTACCCCATGTGCCTGAGTTCAAGAATCAGGCACCAAGAATGCTTCAAAAGGGTAGTGAAGCCTTAGGAAGCATCTTGGTTATCTTCACTAGCAAAAACAACAAACTTACAGGTAGATTCTTAGCTTGGCATGAGAAGCTTGTGGCATGGGAGCAAAACCATTATGAGTTTAGCATAAACAAAGAGAGAGCTGTGAGTTCTTTTGAAAGACAGGGGTTCTAAGGAAAGGGGGAATGAATTCTAAGAGGGTTTGTTGAAGAGGGAGAGAGATGAGAGTATAATGGGTGTGTTGAGTAGTTTCCGGCAACTTGACGAAAAATCTGTCAAGCTTTGGAGTGTTTTAACATAAGAGAAAATGGGAGGAGATGGAAAAATAGGGCTCAAAATTGCAGAGGTTTCCGGGATGAGAGATGTAGCTTGCTCTCTGAATGTGTGTCTTGATTAGGATAAAGAAGAAGGAGATAGAAGGTGAGGCACTTGGCTTGATGTTTCAAGCAGTTAGAGAACAATCTTGCTCCATTGCTCAGGATGAGTTTAATGGGTAGGAGGTACCTCCTTTTATAGTCATTGGAAGCTCCTCCTTCCCAAGAAACCCTAATGGGTTCTCTCAAATTTTGCCAAGTCTCCCCTTTAATTTCTCTTCTCTCCCTTCGATCCATCCCATTTTGGGAAATTCTCCTCTGCCCAATCGCACCAAAAATAGGGTTTTGGGAGCTCTAGGCTTATCAGTGGTGATTTCTTATTTTTGGCTGTCATTTCTCCTCCTTTCCTCCCTTATTTCATGGCAAGATTTGGTGGGGGGAAAGAAATGGGTATGTACGTTGGTTTGAAGGGTGTTTTGCTTAAGCATCCCTTGGTTTTTCTGATGGCTTGTGTTGGGTTTGTCTTTGGCCATGTGCTGGAGTCTCCTAGTAGCCTGAGCGTAAAAACATCTCATGGTTTTCTATCATGGTTTCATTTCAAACCATGTGCTGGAGATTTTTGGATATTTTCTAAGCTATTTGGGCCTTGCTAAAGTGATGAATTAGCCCATTAAGAACATGGGCTAATTTCCTTAAGTGATGGGCTAACTTTCTGGGTATTCAAGCTAATTTTCTAGGGTATTTGGGCTTTTTCCTCTCTTTTATGCTTACCCACATATTTGGGCTTAAGAAATGGGCCTGAGTTTTGGGGCTCCCAAGCAGCCCAAAACTTCAATTTCTCGGCTCATCAATGTTTACCATTCATACCACAACTCACTCAAGCAAGCCCCGGGCATTTGCGTGGCTTAGCCCCACTTAAGCTTGTAGCGTGGCTAGGTGTAATAATAATGATTTTTCGCTTGGCATTGCACGTCGCTTGGCGTGCTTGAATTTTGTCGCTTTGAAGAAAGACATAGTGCTTGACGGAATAATTAGCATGAGTTTGTAGAGCCAATGCCTTTTATAGGCTCATTTTAATTCTTAGCGTGATAAATTGCATATTTATTTGGCATGGCACGTGGTCATGGCTTGTGAAAGCGTGCATGACGAATTTCGAATGCTCCGAACTGGTTCTTTTCTTAATAAGGTGTCGCACTGGACCAAGAA